TTGGTGTGTCGGCATTGTTTGCAGTAAAGAAAGTTCCCCAATCAGTGCTTTTTAGGTAATTGTGGAAGTTATTCTGATCCACCTTGCTGTAGTTCCTGCGAAGTGTTGCGGTTTTACGTCTACAGGTTGGGGTTTTTATATTAAGGCTGCATATGACAATGTTATGATCACTACCTGGAAACGTTTTTCCAATATACACAGTATTGGGGGTGAGGCCACTGGTAAAGACTAAGTCCAAGATATTTTGATATCTGGTAGAGCTATTGACATACTGAGTCCATCGTCCAAGCTCTAGACATTCTATAAATGATTCATAACGCTTCGGCGCCTTGACTGGGAACCAAGAAATTTCGGGCATGTTGAATTCACCACAAATAAGCTTGCCTGTGAATGGAAGGGATGATGCTAGTGTGAATACCTCCGATAGTACTGCTATGTCATCTATTGATGCGTTAGGTTGGCGGTAAACATATTCGAACAGTAAGGTGACGGAATTCGACGGCTTTAATACAACTCACACCGAATCCTTCAGTTTGTTTAGTTCAGGCATATCACATAGTAGTGAGTTTATGTTAGAGTGAGCATAAATAAGGCGTCTTCTGCCTCGTCCTTTCAATCTATCAATTCTATATAGGAAATAGTCACCAAGAGATATACTTGAGTCGGAAATATTACTGTTAGTTCATGCTTCAGATATCATTATGAGTGATGGTTAATATATGGATACAAACAGGGCTAAATCCGTCTTTTTATTGCAGATCGACCTAGCGTTGATGAGACATATATTAAACAAATGGCCTACTAAGTTAAAATGGGTGAGAATATCTCGAATAAAGTCGTTGTGACCCTCGCGGGTGTGAGATAAGTTAGAAGTACGGGATTGAATGTTCTTCAATAGCTTGGTATTTTGATAGCCAGACTTAGTGGGAGATGTATCAAATGAGCTAGTGAAGTTGATTGGGGAGTTTACTCAGGACGAAAGGGTGGGAGTACTCTCTGATGGAAACTGTACGGGGGATACACGTTTATGTTTTGCATGTGGTTTGAAATAACTTGGGCTATATGCTTCAAAAGAGGTGTCACTAGGGGTCGTATACCAAAAAAATCTTGTACAGGCCTCCTGTGAAGTGTGTGGTTATTTGCAAATAGTCTTGGTGGGTAGGCGGGTAGCCTGTTATGGCTATTTACGTTTGCGTGACGGGGGTCTGCTGCGCGTAACTGGAAGGAGTTGGGACTGTTTTTGTACGTGGGAGCCGTTTTTATGTGGTGGACTGGTACTAAAGGGTGTGAAAAGTTTTCTTTCTGAGAGTAATTACAATTGTGATCCTGGGGAATGTAGATAGGGTGTGGAGTGAGAAACCTATTATTACGATTCTTAATAATGGTCTTAAGCTTAAGGGGGTGATCGGAGTGATAAGCACTCTGATAGTTTTTGTTAGTCTGTGTGTAAAAAGGCTTGTTACGCTGAAGCCTACTACCCATTTTGCAACTTAGAGGTGTTGAAGGCAAGTGATATGATAATAGCGGGGAGAACCTGTTCACTGTGGTTGGGATACCTATATAGCAGTTGGGTTCAACCTTACGTGTTTCCCTATTTGGCATCGTGAGTCTTGCCTTTCCACACTTTCTTGGCAGAGCTGGAGTCTTTCGTTGTCTCTGTGAGATGGATTTAGGTTCATTCGAGTCAACCTGTTGAGTATTTCTAGGAGTATTAATTTTCAAGTGTATAGGTTTAGTTGGATGCGTGTTGTCACACGACTCACATCTTAGTACATTACTGAGCGAACAGCTGGGATTAGACATGTTTATTGGTGACAGTTGGGGTCCGAATCTTATCCAAAGGTTTCAGTGGAATTATGGTCTACTATGATATTAGTACTGCTCTAATAATAGACCTAATCCTAAAATTGTAGACCCGTCATGATATAACTGCCTAATCTATAAGATCTTACGTGGAAGGCATATAATCGTCTACACCAACTCATTGCATCGTAACAATCACCAATACATGATGAAGAACAAGCTTAGACTAGAGATAGAACAATACATTTAATATGAATAAAAGATATAAGCTAACATTCGATAGGGACAACGCTTGCAAGGCCAATGAACTCGAATTAATTCAATTCGTTGTTCCCACATTCTCCATTGCTGGGTTTTTCTCCGCAGTTGTCACGGGCTCAGCTTTGAGGATTGTGTGGTTATGATCTAATGCCACTACACATCTTCAAGAAGAACAAAAACCAGCCCACCCCACGCGAGTCAATCTTTCATGGGTTTTGAACAATCTACGAAGTATGACGGAGGCCAGTAGTTTGGACTCAGTTGTAAGTAGACCTATCCCCCAACAGTTGTTGCAGGAACAACGTGAACTCTTTAAGGATAAGAAGAACGATTGACTAATTTCAAGATTTTGGAACAATTTCTAATTGCCAGATCTTTGTGAACAACTCAATGAATTCCTTCAAATTGTTGCGGAGGGCAGCTTTAGCTTGACAGGCTTCCGTGTTTAGTAGCAGGGGATCACCAATGCCTCTGGACAGCAACCTAGGTATATTAACGATAAACGAGAAAAAATGAAATTGGTAAATCATAGTAAGATACTATCCTTAGTCCTTAAGAATAGGTCAAGTCGCCTCTTGAAGGACTTCTGGGAAGTTGCTTGGACTAGCTCAGCTGGCAGCGAATTCCAGCATTTGACAACTCTTAAGGAGTAGAAGTTGTGCTTGCAGTCCGTTCTACTATGTTGTATCTCCGATTTCTGGGTATTACCCCTTAGGTTAGTATTGGGATTAGGCTTAGGTAGGTGTTTAAGAGGACGTCCAGAAGTGTTAAGAATACTGTAAGCCATTAGAAGGTAACTTCTAAGACGCCTATACTCTAATGGGTAAAGGTCGAGTGATTGGAGGCGCTCTTCATAAAGTTTAAATTTAAGTCCTTGAACTGATTTCGTGGCTCGCCTTCTGGATCCAGAAGTGTTAAGGATACTGTAATCCATTAGAAGGTCACCTCTAAGACGCCTATTTATTTATTTAATCATTCATTTGAACACATAAATATTGGTACAGGGGGGCACCAAATATATATGCGCCACACAAAACAATGGGAATTTAAGGAGGGAAAAAAGTAAGGAACGAAGTATAACGGAAGCCAATAGCTTGGACGCAATCGGAAGTAGACTTATCCCCCGATAGTTGTTACAGGAACGACGTGAACCCCTTTTAAAGATAGGGACAACTATCGACTCATTCCATGACGTTGGTACACTCTCTAGTTCCCAGACCTTCGTAAACAACGTCGTCAGTCCCTTAGTCAGAAAGTCACCACCATCTTTAAAAAGAGCCAGAGGTAAGTCGTCTGGGCCCGGTGATTCGTAACGTTTCAAGAGTTGGAGTTCCTTGCGGACTTCTGCCTCGTTTGGTGGATCAGTCGTCACCGGCCATGGAGGGCAGGACAGTCTGACCGATGTTGCCGGAGCAGCAGGCCAGTTGAACTGCCCTTCAAAGAATTCTGCCCATCGTCCAAGACGTCGATGGATGTTAGTGATTGGCGTTCCGTCAGCCTCGCAGATTGTTTCGCTCACACCAGACTTCTTGCTGCCAGTGGCTCGGATGAGTTGGAAGAGCTTCCGGTAATTACCAGATGCAGCTGCTGCTCCCAGCTCATTAGCAAGCTCCGATCACCAGGCTTCTCGGTCCTTACGCAAACTTTGCCCGATTTCATTACGAAACATCCTTCGTTTGTGGTCAAACTCACGGTCATCCGGGGTAGACCGACGGGCTTCGATGAGTTGTAAAGAACCAGAAGAAGCCCAGTGTTTGTAAGCGGGACGTTTCGCGAACCCACAACTGACAAAGTGAGAATAGAAGAGATTAGATAAGTGACGTGGTGTGCAAAAAAAGAAAGATAAAATGAATGTGAATTGTCTGAATTTTAATAGAGGTGAAAATAGTATTTTCAGTAGTTATCGTCATTTCATTATATTTGCGTGTGGGCTGTGATGCTGCTTTGATGCTCAGACTGAGGCAGGTGGTGTTCTTAGAGGGCCATCTCTGAGCTATTGACTTAGAGATCTAATTCACAAGGTAGTGGAGCAACGTTAGGAGACCCTGTCCCATGGTAGCTGGTGACCAACAAAATGTTCCTTCAATAGTGAAGTAAATGTGTAAGCAGAAAATTACATCAAACAAACCGGCCACAAAAATTCTGTCATAGAACTCCACAAACTGACGCGTAAACACATTAAACGTAGGAAACTACAGCAATCTTTAAGGTTTCCTTTCTACGACCTACTCGATGGAACATAAGCCTACGAGAATATCGTATGAGAAAACGTCTGACGGGTCGGGTGAAAGCAAGACCATAGTCAACATATTGATCTGAAGTGAAGGTATAATTAAGACCATGTGTACAGTAATCTATTTACGTACTAAATTGCCAGAAAACTTAATTTATGGTTCAAGATGCTACACGAATTCGTAGCATGACAGCGCGTTTACACGCAACACCTGTATAATCGAAATATGACAATCTAGTCAAATCAGAAGTCAGAAATGGAGAGGTTCGGAAATATAAATGGAGCGTTTAGTCTAAGCTGAATAACGGTTGTAAGTGATGCGTAGCATGGTGTACTCAATCGGGATCTGGTGCGAATTAGGTCAGCATCAAATGATGAATACCTACAAAATTATTTATTTTGGGGGTTTATTTACCACCATAGGATTTTCATTGAGATTTCATTGCAAACAGGTGCTGTTATCTGCAACTGAGTCTAGGGTTATATTCTTCAAAACACGGGTCGAAAAGTTGAGTGAAAGACAAAAATATAACATGCAGCCAGATTCTCAAATAAGTAAATAATGACTACTATAAAATGCATCTAAATATTTTGAGTGAACGATTTAATCACAGAACACCGGCTACAACGGACTTCAAGAACATTTACTTTTAATCTTAGCCTACAGATTTTACGACATGAAGGAGCAGTGGCACTATATGGCCTTGAGATCACTAGTTTTACTGCGCTTTGTTATAGAAACGGAGTACTGACCCTCTTAAATATTTCTTGATCTCAGATCACTCTTATTGAGATCTAGAGTTTGGGTGAGTGTACGGTTTATCACTGCTTGACGTGTCGAAACTCCACAGTATATCTGACCCATAAAGGTGTTTAGTCCTAACGTGGTTTGCATTTTTCAAACTTTTGCTGTGTTCTTACGCAACAAAACTACCACTTTTGATCTAAAGAATCTCTTCTGAGCTATACGTTTGGTAGTTTTTTTTTCGAGTTTCGCCCAATTTAATAGTTAACTGTGGTTTTGCTCCAGATTACTATTCGGTCTTTTTTTCTGGTTTTCACGTAAAGGCTAGTTCAGTTTATCTCATCCGTTTTTAGCCATTTTCCCCGTTTTTAGAGTGCTTTTCAGTGTATTTTTAACGGTCTTAGGCTTTTGCCAGCATCTATAATACATTTTACGTCAATACAGTTATGAAAAATTCATGCAAACGATCTGGAAGCCGTTTCGCTGTTACATCTGGCATGCAAAGCGACAACTGCAAAGTTTGGTTCCATGAAACGTGCACAGATCTCACAGCAACTGCCTACAATAGACTCATCAATTCGGGTCTTAAGTGGGTATGTGTTACGTGCAGTATGGATGCTGTAGTTTTGCTGAGTAACACCATTGTCCTATTGACAGGTCTGCGGAATAAGTTGTCAGCAAACTTGGAAAAAGACACTCATAAAACAGGTAGACAAACAAGGGCACGTAACGAAAACAAGAATACGGATGTCGATAGGTCTACCATCGATGGAGCATGCATTAGCTCTAATGATGACATGTTGAAACTCAGCACAATCTTTACGTTGACGGTAATAGACTCCCTCAGTAAACTCGGGTCCCCCAGCTCAGGGTCCTTAAATGCAACAGTGGTTCCCAAAAATTCTGCAGGTGATTGAATCAACGTTAACAGAGCTAAAAAGGACCAGGCTTCACCGTCTAAGCTGAAAATCTCAAGTGTTGTTCGGAAATCAACTAGTGATTCGATAGCACAGTCTACCCCCGAGAATGTCCGCCCGGTCATCAAAAAGCCTAGGATTCAGAAACGTGCTTCGACCTTCAAACAACAAGGTGTTGAACCTGAAATCACGGAAAACCTGGGAAAACAATAACGGTTCGTGATGACTCTCATAATCGTGAACCTCAAAGACAACCACGACCTTCCTCTCAGTTTGCAGGAAAAAAATGACAGGATTCTCTGAGGTGAATTGAACAAAACGCTTGAACTTCCTAGAATAGAGCCTTTGACGGTGACACGGCTCACTCGAGGAGAGGAATCTAAGCATCAAAATCACGCAAGGCTACTTCGTGTAACACTTAAGAATGCTACCGACGTTGAGGATGTCCTGTTAGCTAGTCATTTACTGAAATCCGATAGGAACGTAAGAATACTGCCCAACATACCGTATTCTGAGTATAATCTTATCCGAAACATCCCTAAAGAATCTCGCGAGTTGTGCAAGGTGTACTGAAAAACACGGACCCTAGTCAAGCAAACTCTGACATTCGGGAATGGAAATTTATCAAACGATCCTTGAGGCTCAAAAACATACTGACTCAACATGTGACGAGACTAGCCAAGAAGGACGGCGATTCTAGACCCCGACTAGTGAAGACAACTTTCCCATCCTCATATATGGTGGCTGCAGCTCTGGAAGCATTTCGTGCCAACAGATGTCGGTTGCCAACTGGGATCCACAAACCCCCAGACAGGCCATATGACGCCAGGATCAAGCACAAAGGCAAGTTGGAGCTGACCATTCCACTTGTAGACTGTCTTGAAGATAAAAAAACGTGTAAAAGACAGGGCTTACCAATTCGGCAAACCTTATATAGGTAGGCTACCTGTCCACTCAATTAAGGCTCATACAGATAAACAGGAAGAAGCTCACTCGTTTCAAATTGAAAGAATTAACTGCTTATGCATGAACGCCGCGAGTCTATTAAACAAAATGGATGAGCTACGTGAACTTAGCAACGCTAATAAGGTTCATTTGATAGGAATATCTGAAACACGGATATCTCCTCAGTTTTCGGACCAGGAGCTAGAAATACCTGGGATGTATCTGTTTCGCAACGACAGAAAAACGGGATTTGAGGGTAGAGTAGCCGTATACATACGATCTGGCTTGAAGGTACACGAAGTTCACAATCATGAGTTTAATAATCTTGAGGAATCCATACGGTGCTCTGTAAGATTGTCTACTACGCCATGGACTTCAATCTCCCTAGAGTCAACTTCGTGGAACATACGTATATTGGAGGTGAAAATTCAATCGAAGCTTGGTTCTTCAACCTCATTGAAGATTCGGGATTATACGAAAATGTGAAGTCTGCAACTCGCTGGAGGAACAGTCAGACACCGTCGCGCTTAGACTGTGTATTTACAAACGAAGAATTTCTAGTTGACGACCTCTTAATTCTGGCTCCCCTGGGGAAAAGCGATCACGCTGTTATAGCCTTCAGTTTTGTCAGCAAAACTGAGCTAAGATATCCCAACAACAACAACAGGCGCTGGAATTTCAAACGGTTGAATGCGTCTGCTCTACATGACTATCGACAACAGGTGGATTGGGATGTTCACCCTCAACTTGATGTGGATGCTCATTGGGACTTCTTACTGCATACGCTCTTATGTGCTGCAAAGCAGTCAGCTCCTCAAACGGTCCCCAAGAGCTACAAGCAACCTTCAATCATCAAGAACCGCACTCTTCGTTTGTTAGACCGCAAAAGACACTGTTAGGCAGAATACAAACGAACTGATAACAACAGCGTGTACAGGTAATGCAAACATATAAGGAACATATGCACGAAGGCTATAAGAGAAGACAGGCTTTAGTACTAGATAAAGCTTATGGGTAATTTTGTCTCGAACCCGAAAAGCTTGTTCCGTTACGAAGCCTCTATTCGTCAAGCCAAAACTGGAGTATCTCAACTGCTAGGTCCTAACGGCCCGACCGATAACGAAGGCGACGCCGCTAACCTTCTGGCTGAGCAATACTCCCGGACATTTCAACCGACCCACACCAATCATTCTGATGACAGCTTCATTTGCAACTGCACAGGACTTTCCGTAGTGAACCTGAGCGCTGACTTGGTGTTCCGAATACTGCAGCATCTAAGAACAGACACTTCTCCTGACCCAGATATGGTCCGTCCTGCTATACTGAGGGAAGCAGCTTTAATCCTGGCAACACCGCTTAGCGTGATGTTCTCACAATCGCTAAGTCGAGGCAAACTACCGGAAAATTGGAAGCTGGCTCATATCATACCAATTTTTAAAGTAGGTCAACGCAGCAAACCTCCAAGTTACCGACCGGTGGTTCTTCTCTCTATACCTTCAAAGATCATGGAGTCCCTGGTGTACGATGGTATACACGACCATCTGCTGTCCTTAAATTTCTTCTCACCGCAACAGCATGGTTTCAGGAAGGGTTACTCCTGTATGACAAACCTGCTGACCGCGGTGGACAGATGGACAAGCATCGTTGATTGCAAGGGGAAGGTGGATATCATTTACCTTGATTTCTCAAAAGCTTTTGATAGGGTTAATTATATATGTCTTATCGACAAGCTCAGACAGTTGGGTATCAGACCACCTCTATTTGATTGGCTCAGTTCATATCTGACAAATCGACATTTTAAGGTCAGGGTCAACCTCAATTTATCACACGCTATGGAGTGTCCTAGTGGGGTCCCCCAGGTCTCAGTACTAGGACCTCTTCTCTTCCTGATTTATATAAATGATCTTCCTCAACAGGTATCGTCAGACTTATTACTTTTTGGTGATGACGTGAAACGTTGGAGAGAGATACGCAACTAAGAGGATATACAGGCACTTCAGGAGGATCTGACTTGACTTCAAAGTTGGGCAGACAACAACGGACTTACCTTTAACACTTCAAAGTGTAAAGTAGTCCATCTGCAACATGTCGCAGAGTACAGTTACAAATTAGGAAACTCCTCTCTAGTAGTATCCCGAGTCGAAAAAGATTTAGTAGTCCTGGTGCCCTACGACTTAAAGTCTTACGCTAACTGTGACAGAAATGCCTTTCGAGCAAACCTTGCACTGGTAACATTGAAGCGCATTTTTGGTCAGTTTGACGGGAGAACTTTCCAAATAATCTTTAATAGTATCATTCGTTTCCATTTAGAGTACAGAAACATAGTAGTCCCTCCTACACTCCAAAAGGATAAGGACACTCTGGAGCGTATCCAACGGCGAGCCACGAAATCAGTTCAAGGACTTAAATTTAAACTTTATGAAGAGCGCCTCCAATCACTCGACCTTTACCCATTAGAGTATAGGCGTCTTAGAAGTTACCTTCTAATGGCTTACAGTATTCTTAACACTTCTGGACGTCCTCTTAAACACCTACCTAAGCCTAATCCCAATACTAACCTAAGGGGTAATACCCAGAAATCGGAGATACAACATAGTAGAACGGACTGCAAGCACAACTTCTACTCCTTAAGAGTTGTCAAATGCTGGAATTCGCTGCCAGCTGAGCTAGTCCAAGCAACTTCCCAGAAGTCCTTCAAGAGGCGACTTGACCTATTCTTAAGGACTAAGGATAGTATCTTACTATGATTTACCAATTTCATTTTTTCTCGTTTATCGTTAATATACCTAGGTTGCTGTCCAGAGGCATTGGTGATCCCCTGCTACTAAACACGGAAGCCTGTTAAGCGAAAGCTTCTTCTATTCCTTCCACAACCATTTGAACAACACATTATGGACACCAGGCCACCGTGACACGAGCATATTTCCAAATCATCATCACTTGGCTCCTCGAGGCAGCCTTAACCAAGGAGCGGACACTCATGTGCGCCCTCACACTTTTCACCAAGAATTTACCCCATTTGAAATACTTTCCCATCCAATCTCCTTATTTTGGGAAAGCTAGTTTCCCCAAAATTTTACATAGCAGCTGCTATATAAAATAGCGCAAAACCCCCAATATCAGGCAATCGGGTATCTAAAGTGACCACACTGTCATTAGTAGACAGCTGTCAGAGAAGACGTAAAAAGTACATACTCAACCATGAATTACCATATCTGCCTCCGACAGGCTGTGTCTGTTACAGGTCCAAAAGTTCGCCACGGTTATCATAATCGCATACCAGTAACACTTTTTATCCCTCTTATTGTCATCCCTGTTTCCCCTTTTATCCTTTCGATCCCGTCTTCTTAAACGTTACCAATCAAGTGAAGTGCGTAAATTTTATTGTCTTAGCACTCAAATAACCATTTTATTATTTCTAAATTTCAATGTGATAGGTGCTGGTATCCAGAATCTCTACTTCGCTGAGACAAACATACTGAAATCACAAGACATACAAATTCACAAATATCTACCAAGCAGACTATAATTAGTGCATTTGAGTGACTAGACTACCACCGATTGGACATTATCGAATACTCGAAACCGTACTGAAATAACAAGCAGAGAGCCCAAAGAAATCAATTGATTTGTACAAACTTGTGACGGAGATATCAAACACTGAAAAATAACGGGTCCTTCAAAGTTGTCTTAATAACCTGTATGTGTGAGATTATTTGTCTATTCCATGTGTCTAAGCAAAAGCTCAGACGATGAAGCTGGTTAATCATAGCTCTTTATAAAGAAAGTTTATTGAAGTGTAGATTCCTCAAACTTGTGAAGTTACCGTTCCTGACACATTATGGATTTCAACACTTATTTCTTAGAAGTCAAACTGTTGACTGTAATTTAAGGATTCTGCAAAACGTTTTAAGGTTTATTAATTTCACATTGCTGGTTTATTGACAAGACCAGCTGTGACTAATATATAGTACCTAAGGATTCCTTAACTTTAAGATTTTGGTAAGGGAATGTGAGTTAGAAACTAAATGTTTAGGTACCGATTTTTAAACAGGTTTTATTATTTATCATTGATCTCATTTGAAATATGCTTTTACTTGAGATGGTACTGATTCGCATTTACCTGAAACATGATTTTCGTCGATCTACATTTGATCACTGGTTATGAGGTTAAGTAGCAATCGATTTTTGGAGATAAATGAACACCATCATGAAACTTTTACATACGAGGCACAAATAATGTGTCTTAGTGTGTAGAACTTTGAGCTGATGAAATATGAGGTATGAATCAATAATGGATTAAAAACTTGTAAAACACGGAGACAGTAAGTTTAATGCATCACATTTTGACGAAACAGGCTAGGTCAACAATACACGCTGTTCAAATGTCATAGTCTGGAGAAGACAGCCTCTGACCCAAAAATGTTCTGTATGGGGAAACTTTTAGGGAAAGTATGGAAATTATGACCTATCAGTCGGATGTCTTGTCAGTTCTTACAGAAGTGATATTTTGGTTTCATGTATCAAAATAATGACCAGTCAGTAGATGATTTGAAATTTGTCCATAATTTAAGCATTATTTAGCCTACAGAAAGTGTATAAAGTTAATCACAATAAAAACGACTCATAAACGTTTCTCTGCACTTTGTTCGAGTCACATTTCTCCATGCTCAGTTTTATGAATATGCATCTGTGGTACAGCTAGCCAAGAAAACCCTAACAGCATAATTGCAGTTAAACCAACCCATATTACTGTTTACAATTTTTTATTAAGTAACAGTCACCAGTCTAAGAATGAAAACATTTCCGATATTATCAAGAACCATGTATTTATTTCAGGTAAAAATGTCTGCCTCAAATTCCAAGTTGAATGATAGGTTTAGAGAAGTTTTGTTAGTCCTCATTTTTAAGTCGACTCAAAGAATACTAAATGCTTATATTTTTTGAAGTCTGTTATTTTGGGTTGAAGTGATCAATGGTAACATACTTATTGCTGCAGTTTCGGCAACGTTGACGAACTCATTGGAAGGATTTCAACAACCAGTGTTTTATCATAGTACTGTCTCTAAAACGAGTGTAGCTGGGTTGAACTTACGATATTTTTAAAAGGTTGATAAGTATTTATCAAAATCCACCCCTAAAACTGAAGAGCCATGATATGAGAGATACACAGATCAATGACGAACAGTGATCCCTAAACTGAGATGGTCAATTAGACAGCTGGTGGTTTGACCAAGCTTCTAAATTAAAGCAAATAGGAATAGGAGGGAAATATTGATTAGGCGAATGACATACACTGCAGCCAGTGCAATGTGATGTGAATTATCTATTAATTTCATACAGTTAGTTCCCCTTATGAATTTAAATAAAGCAAGAACAAAATTATAACACCTTCCCTACGAATCCAGAAAAATACGTACAGAATTTATCTAGTAAAAAACTAACTCGAATTGAAACTGAGGCACTCTCCCTCGGATTTAAATTTCATATTCCGAAAAAATGTAACAGAATAGACACAGAAACTCAGTTTGAGTATTTATATCAACAATTGTCAGAACTCAAACCCATGAACGAAGAAAAACATAGTTGGTTAAAATCGAAATTAGTTGATATTACAAACCAGTACATAACGACACCAACCCCACAATCGAAGGTGCTAGCTAAAGATCACCAACTAGCAATAAAAAAACTTATGAAAGATGAAACAATATTGATACTTCCTCCAGACAAGGGTTCCGGGGTAGTCGTTCCTAACAGAGATGAATATACCAACAAATTAATGTCTACTTAAAATGATTCCACTAGATTTATCATCGATAATACCCAGAAAGACTTAACAGAGACAATCGAGAAACGCCTCTTAAAAAAGTTGAGAGAACTCCTGAAGAAAAATCTAATTGATAATCATACATACAGTGAACTGAAATCTAAAGGATCACAATTACCATGCTTATATGGCCTACCCAAAACTCATAAGCCCCACATCCCGATAAGACCAATATTATCCATGACCGATTCGCCCTTCCACAAACTCGCTCGCTGGCTGACAAAATGCCTAGGACCAATTCGAAAGAAAGTAGCGCCCTACAGCCTAAAAGACAATTTTGAATTCGTACAAAAACTCGACAACCTAAATGTTTCTGATAAATTTATGGCTTCATTTGACGTCTCATCACTCTTCACTAACATCCCCTTGGAAGAAACGGTTGAAATCATATGTGAATATCCTGAACTTCTACCTCTACCAATTCATGATTTTAACCAGCTCCTTTTTTATGTACTAGAAACATACAATTTCAATTTAATAATGTCTTTTACCGTCAAATTGATGGAGTTGCCATGGGTAGCCCGTTGGGCCCAATTCTTGCTCACTTAAAGAAACTAAAATCGACAAGTCCTCTTTTCTTAGTAACTCCAACTGCATTTACCAATTCACATGTATGTGCCAAAGCACATACATTGGAAGAATTGAGAGAAGAGTGCATGTTCGCATTTCTGAGCATGTTCCAAAGAACTTGAGGCTGCGAGGGACTAAGGTTCTTAACAGTGCAATAGCTCGGCATTTACTGGACATCAGGCATACCATTGATATTTCACACGTTTTCAAAATTATCAATAGACAACGAAGTACTACTACTCTCCGTTTCGCGGAAGCGATTGCGATAAAAAAACTTAAACCGGATTTATGCATTCAAAAAGAGACGTTAATAAACTTATCATTACCCTGGTAACCATTTTGTGTGTGTGTGTGTTATTTTATTCACTTATATTATTTTCAAAAAATTTATTTTGGGTTATATTCCCCCCCCCATTACCTAATTCTTAAACCAACTTTTCATTCACACATTTCCGCCCACTAATCCTCTTAAATTATGTCAACCTTTCAAATTCTATTAAATTATTACGTAACCTATCTTATCACTGTTCTATTACCTCTAAAATAATTATCACACAATGTATAAACTCCATTCAACTATTACATTACCCATCTTTAATTGTTTACTTAATTCTAACACCAGTTAACCTCTGACCTATTCTAGCATATATATATATATATATATATATATATATATATATATATATATATATATATATAGTTATTATTGTAAATCTTTGTCATTCTAATCATGTACATTCATTTATGCCAATTGTTTTACACTATCTCAATGTAAAAAATTTTATCACATATTTGGTTGTAAGCAGCTGACGAGAAACCTCGAAATATTATGAATTCATACTATTCTGCATCAATATTTGTTCTTGCTTTATTTAATATCTATTAATTGGTTAATGACTGAATAGGGAAAGAAAACGTTTACCAAATACTACCAAAGCTGAGATTCTTTCGATCTTATGCAGCAACCACTAATTAAATTATCATTCTTTGACTCTAAAAAAGGCTATATTTATGAGTAACTGGCAAAAATCTTTACCAGTCATCTTAGTTTTTTGACTAATCGATAGCAAACAACTTAAGAAATCATTTTTACTAGACCTCACCAAGCCAAATTGTTTTATTTAATCAGAGTAAAATGACATTAATACAAACATGCAAGTTGTTAAAAAAGTGTTTATTGGATAGGAAATTTAGTCAAAATTAATAATCATTAGGTCTTATCTTTTTACCAGAAGTTTGATTTTCATGTAATTCTCAAAATGTAGTATATTTTACTTGTCATTACAATTCTTGTGCATAAAAGCTTGAAACAAATAACAGTGGACTTATGTCAGCCAATTTATGGGATAAAATACATAAAATTAACGAGTTTAAATCCCAATTATCTAAAGCGCTTAGTGATGTAGACAAATTAAAAGAGCTAGCTATATGGGAAAACAACAAACTTGAAAATCAAATAGATGCAGAGACACTTCGACGCTATCGGAAGGCGAAGTCCGAGGAAGCTGAAGAACTTAATAAGAAAAAGTAAATTTACAGTTATGGATAAAAATAATATCAAACTCGGAAACTTCTAGAGAACATTTAAAAGTTGTACTGATGAACGATGAAAACAAAATTCTAAAAGAGTGTAAAACAGCAGGTGAGGAAAAAGCTGAGCGTTTGAAGTATTTGAGGGCACAAGGTGAATTGCTAGAAAAACAAAAGAAAGAGACAGATGAAAAAATGGCACTTGAAAAGTATGACCAGCGTCTTCGGTAAGTGAAAGGTATTTAATAATTCAATTTGTATTACAATTATTGATGTGTTTTATCGCTTGCAAAGAAACTAATAGTAGGATTGTTAAGGACTCGGGTATATACTCAAACTTTTAGCGAATATCATTTGGGGTTTTCGTAAGCAAAAGGTATCAGGTTCGAGTCTTGGTACAAACTACAACACTGGAATAGATGTAAAAATAGTTAACGAATCTTAAATAGGATTAAACGCAAGTTCTAGACTCGACTGCTAACCACAAGTCCACACAATCTATAAAAACATGTGAAAATGCTCATACCGAAACAGTCAGTATTGAATGTTTGTATATCAAGAAACACTGATCGAAATTCAGTCAAAATTATTAACAAAGGGATAACTAAGATTCTTTCTAGTAGTGATATAAGTCAAATTATTTGTACAAAATAAATTGTCTGTAAAATTAAAATCTGACGCTAACCATGTTAACGGATTAAATTAAGGAAGCATCTAAGAAATAGGAATAAAATCAAATACGATACAGATGAACTGTTAATGAAAATTGGAAGTATCAAACGATATCTTCGAATACTTTGTATTGGATTTGTGATATGTGATGCTACGTTTCCATGATCTTACAAAACTCTATCAACGTGAGATCTAACAAAGAGGGTTAATAGACTTCACAATTACACATGCGTTACTAAGAATAAGCTTGAGTGTGATTGTATTGAGATGACTAATTTATGCTGTTAAAATCTGGATCATTTTATAAAAGGAAGTATATTAGGATTTTGAAATATCTAAGCCGGTTTCCTAATTTTTAATGCTCAGCAAAGCAAAACTTATTCGCATGACAGTTTTATCAGCTTAGATGCTTTTTAAAACCCCGGAGTACAGCACGCTGATGGCTCCAAACGTGCTTGTTCTCAGGATCCTTTGGTTTCGTATTAAGCACAATACATTTTAACCGCTTGACCTAAATACCATGTTTCATATATTTAAACCACATTTAGAGGTTAAAATACCTTCAAGTTTAAAAATCTCTGCATGTAAGATAATAACCCAGTGGACATTAATGAGATAAACATGCTGAAATTCCCGTGAGAAAACTTGAACTGTGGAGTCAGGTCAAATAAACAAACAAAATTAGAACACCTATATTTCGTTCCAATCGGTATCAGAATAAACTGACACTAAGTCGTCATATTAAGGCTAATGAATCCAAACAACTTACTAGGCTTCAGTAAACTGTTTTTAATGCCTAAGCAAACTCATTCTATTGGATTACCTGTTGAAAATGTTTTTATTCTAAATATATTGGAGTAACACCTTCATATATTGGCTAATTCATTATAAAGGTAAACCACTTTTTAAACACATTTGTGTGGATAGTCAACATAGAATTATTTTGTAATCATTCACATTTCCTACATGAGATTGTTTTTAGTGGCTGATTCTGTGTCAAGACCACATAGGCCATCCTGGCTTCTGGACAGACCAATCTATTCATTCTTTCTAAACCACGTTTTGACCTTGTCACTTATTGCTAATTAACTCTGACAATTTTATATAATCGTATGTATTTTAATTACTTACCCTATTCATCATGTGTCTTCAATTTATTTTTGTGTGACTATAAATATCAATTTACGCTTGGTCCACTTGCCTTCTCTGATCGGCTTCGCTCTTCCTTCTTCGTTTCACTCACTGATTTTTTGTTCAAACTAATTAGTGCATGAAATATGCATATTCAAAATCCATTCTCATATTTGTCTTATTTAATTTCGTTGTTTCCTAATGCGGATTGGAAAGGGGGAGAGAGATTTACAACTAAAATAATTCCAAAGAGTGTCAGTGAAAAATGAATAACGAAAGTACGTTAAACTTCGTATGTATTTACAATGTCTATCTTTAAAAAAAATAAGGTTTGTGAAGTTTGGAGTGGTTTCTTCAAAGTTTTTAAAAAATTGCTACAGATATGAATATTTATTTCCTGTTACTTCAGACTACTTAATCATGGTTTAAGCCTGATAGGAAACTTAATATTTTCCAATTTCTCCGAAATTTTCACCAGAGAAGAATGTGCTGAGTTACGTCAGGAATTAAGTAAGCGTAGAGCTAAAGAAATTGCCCGTGATCTGTTAATCCAAATTAAAATGAAAGAGAAGCAAAATCTTCTGGAGAAACATCAAAATGACTACTTAGATAAATTTGTATTAACTCACTCAAAGGATATGTTCAATGAAGCTGATGCGCAGATGATTGTAGAAAGAAAAAAGTAATTTGTTTTTGAGTTTTTTATATTTTCAGACGAATTGCAAATGTCTTAAGACAACAGATAGAAAGAAAAGAGCAGGAGAAACTTTTAGAAAAGGCGGAGAAGCTGAAACAAGCAAACGCTTTGGTAAATTAGCTATTATTATTATTATTATTATTATTATTATTATTATTATTATTATTATTATTATTATTATTATTATTATTATAAATAAGCATTTAGCCAACATGTTAGTTTGATTACTTCATTTACTAGTTAAAGTTTTCTTAAAAATCCAGCTGAAATTCCGCTCAAAGTGAAGAGAAAGATATCTGCAAATTAGTATTCCTTTTCACAATCGTTTAGCAGTTATAAGTATACTGAATATCAACATTTAGTAAGCAAACATCCTGATAATAGTTGTTTGTGCAAACTACGTATTTCAGGTCCTTTATACGTTACAATTCATTAGTAGCACCTAAAATGATTAAATATTCGAGCTTAGATAATTTATCACAAAGGGTTATTTATGTAAACAAAATGATGTTTCACCGAAGGAAATTTTTTGTATGATACCATTTTTGAGAGCTGTACAATTGAATTTATAGTTTTTTCATACATAAAGTCTATAATAAAAATAGGAAGTTATCGCGTCATTAAGAGTTCAAAATATTCAATCAGTCGATTATATTCATACTGGAGTCAGAGATTTATGCAGGATTTCACTTCCCAAATCAGAAGACTAATAGGTTCATTTCAAATATTGATGTATAGAAAGCCAATTTGGAGTGGGGAATATACTTATTTCCAAAGTTGGGTTTCCCAGAGCAGGAAGAAAAATCTGATAAATTCTCTAACTTTGTGAGCTTGATGAATATGAACAGAAGACACGATTAACGTGAAATAGGAAAAAACCAACAAGTATTTGTGGATTTCTCCTCAAGTTTGTTGATAACAGCCTGAAACCAGAATGGTTAATTAGGAGAATCCCTACCGTACACTGAGTTCAGAGGAGATACACCTGCAGAGACATTACCAATTTTATTATCCAAATCATGAAAGACTTTTTATTCAAATGAGATACAAATCGTATTTTTATTATAACGGAAAGAGTATCTGAGAAGTCAGAACTTTCGGGACTACTTTTCGGATTATTGCTGTTTGTATTTTTATTTTATAAGTACTAAGTAACTAGACCACTATTTTTCTACATTCCGTTTACTGTGAGCTTCCATTTGATTCAATAGTCATTACTATGTTTTATTATTCCAAAATCGTTACTAATCAGTTATTCATAGTTTGCTCCGTTCACAGCCACTTTCTATCAGTTTGTTAAACAGCTATGATTTCCCACGTAAAGGTGCGATGTAGTCTAGTTAGCCATGTACATAGGCTAATGAGTGCCTGAGGTAGCTGCTGAGCTGGTTTATTGAAATACAACATGTAGGCTTGTCTACAGTCTTCTCTTTGGACTGAAGGCTTGGGATAGAAGACAATTTTGAGTATCGGCAGACTAATAGATGTCCTTACATTAGATGATATTATTTTTATCGGCCAGAGTATATCATTGACCAGGATCAACGGCGCTAGGCTATGGTTGTTTTTTTTATAAATGTGTATTTTGTTCTCTATCTTCCTATATTCACCAAGTGGAAAATTAACTTTCCGATCTTTGTTCTGTAGCTTATTTTATAAATTGTTTTTGACACATGTTCGTTCATATTTTTAGTCTTATAATCATTCAGTGAATAACCTTTTGTATCTCCTTTATATATTCTATTTTGATGACTGTTTCCTTTCAAATTTCAATGAATTATTAGTGCCTCTTTTAATGACTTATTAATTCCCAATTTTTATCATCGATCACTATATATAGAAAGTAACTGTAAAAGCGATTGTACAGCTCTTGCAAACGATATCGTTCAAAAGAAAATTTCCTTCACTGAAACGTTTTAATTTTGTCTAGTTGTTCAGAGGATTTCTTTCGTTGATTATTTATTTTCTTGTTTAAAGTTGGTCAAACATTCAAATCATCTGAATGATTTCAAAAGATGCAGTTTACCAATCAAAATTACGGGGTGCTATCTGTTTGTTTTAATAAATAAATGAACATTATAGATTATTTATGGGTCATATTAGGCTTTTATACTGGTTTCCCATACAGTCCCGACCGTTGCTGCTACTTTGACGTGGTGGTCGGGTTTGCCTATCATGATGAACCAATCGAGCTATACTGGCTAGAACAATCGTTCCTCAAGGTCCTACCATGCAAGACAGGTCGATTGAAGAACGGTGAGACTAAAAGCAGAAAACCCGAGGTCCAAAGGCGAAGTCGTACTGCTGACTGTACAGAGGTGTAACGGCAGTAAGGTGTTTCCTTCAGACAACCAACATAACAGCGATGCTGCCTTCCCACAAGGAGGGATGGGGTTAGAAAAGGTCAATCCTAAAAATGCACAACTCGCGTTATCCCGCGGATATCCGTCTCCGGCGGTAAGGTCCCAACAAGTACGGAGCTAACAAGAAAATTACTCACAAAAAGGTCGTATATGACCGACTTCAAACAGTTGTGTCTCTTGGGCACTGCGGTCACGCTCTCCAGTCACTAAGACCACCCCTAACCCAACTTCCTTTTCGGGTGCCTCCAGAGGAACCCTTCCATAGTGTGGGCAACCAGGAAGTGATAATTGCCCTCATTTCTTTAACAGAACTCAGGGTCACTGTATTCATAATCAGTACCCCTCTTTAATTCCTATTATTCCTACCATGTCAACTTTCAACTTCTTCAAGTGTCACTATGGCCAACCACTTCAAGGAACAGTTCAGCTGACCTTCAGCTACTCTACAACTATCCACCATTCCCAAACAGCCTGAATGGAACATTGAAGTAGGTCTTTCGACTATAGTTGGTGTTGAAAAAAGCAATAACTAATCTGAGGCGAGGAAGATCAGCTGCTCGAGACTGATCGGCTCCAGATGTCTTTAAGGATGGTGGTCCAGTTTCAGCGATTAGGTTGGCTAATATTTTAGCTAAAATCTTGTAATTGGTTGTAGTCTCACGTGACTGGTCGCAATCACTAATCGTCCCAATATATAAGAAAGGATCAAAATCATCCTGTGATAACCATAGAGAGACTAGTTTAACTAATATAGCATTTAAAATACTAGCCTCAATAATTATCGGGCGCTTGGCAATGACTTGTGAACTGCAAACACGAGAAAATCAGGCTGGTTTCAGACCTGGTCGTGGTTGTATCGACCACATATTCACCATTCGTCAGATTTTGGAACACAGACATGTTTATTGGCGTCCGACAATGATAGTTTTCTTGACTTAAAAGCAGCATTTGACTCTGTAGAACGTGATGTTTTGTGACGGTGTTCGTCATTGAAAGGTGTACCTCAGAAGTATACAAACCTTATGAAGGCTCTTTACTTGAACACTACCAGTCGAGTCAGAGCTTATGACAAACTGAAATCTGATTTTGAAATTTCAAGGGATGTCCGTTAAGGCTGTTCACTATTTCCGTTTTTGTTCAACTTCATCATAGACCTACTGATGGAAATAACGTTTTCGTCGACTGAATTTTCGGGCATTGATCTACCGAGGGGTCCACTTATGGGCTTAGAGTACGTAGATGATATAGTCCTGTTTTGTGAAGTCGATAAAATGTAGTGTTTTGGTAGCACTGAGCAACGATGCGAGGATGTTTGGGATGCGTTTCTTCCTCTTTTAATGAAAATAGTTGTTTCAGGACTGGCCTCCGTCGACACCTGGACTGATGATAAGGAGTGAATTAGTTGAACACTTCGACAACTTTACATATCTTGGAAGTCTGATCAGCCCTAATGGGTTGGTGACTAACGAAATTGGTGAACGGATTCAAAAAGCTCGTTTGGTTTTTGCCAACTTACGTCACCTATGGTGAAGGCGATATATCTGTCTATCAATAGAAGGACGAGTATATCGTGCGGCAGTTTGTTCTGTTTTACTTTACGGCTGCGAAACATGGCCATTAAGAGTAGAAGATACTTGTGAGTTACTAGTATTTGATCACAGATGTGTCAGAAATATTGCTCGCATTTGCTAGGATCACCGGGTAGGTAATAGTGAGGTTAGATGCAGGGTATTAGGGAATGATGGTAAGCCAGTTGGTGAAGTTGTAAATCTTCATCGATTGAGATGGTTGGGCCACTTGTTATGTATGCCTGAACACCGATTACCACGACGCGCGATGCTGACTAGTGTTGGGGATGTCTGGGAGAGAGAGGGGGCCAAACCAAAACGTGGCATCAGTGCTGGAAGTCACTAACTTCTGGTCCGAGCCATGTTGGTAGATGCAGACTACTTGGTTGGGGTCCGCGTGACTGTCATAACCAATGGTTGGAGACTGTGACATGGCTTGCAATCGATCACATTGGCGTAGGTGTATACACTTTTTGTCTTCCCTTAAACCGTGAGATTAAAATTACTTTATACCTCACTTTCTACGAACTAATTCTTTGTTCCTGTATTATATCCTTCTATGCAATCTTTCTTTTATATATTACTACCACTGAAGTAATTACTTCTACGAATTCGGTGTTCATCTTGTTGTGCTAATTAGGTGTGGCTTCTTGGACCTGTGCATATATGTTCCTGGTCCTACGTTGTAGCTGGCTGAATGACTTATCATACAGTAGCTTACTATTCTGATGGTTTTGTCAGCTTGTACTATGTACTGAACGGCTGTGTAGAATTCAGCTGAATTTTAGTAGACTTAACAATTACAAATTTTACTACCCATTGCTTCCGATCCAGTGTACACTGAGGTAAATAAATATTGCGTCCCTCTAAAAATAATTTCTTCTGCTTATCATAACCTGTCAGGAAGAATTAAATAAGCACCTGAAGCAAGAAAAAGAAGATGAAATAACAAAAAAGAAACTAAGGTTCTCTAAAGTGAAATTGGACTTGGACAAGTGTTTAGAGGAAAAACTATTGAGGAAATCAGAAGAACGCAACCAGGAAGCTCAGTACGACAACTTACTAACCCTTTTAAATCAACGAGTAGATAAAGAGCGGAGTGGAAAGCAGAGAGATAAGGTAATGTATTTCAGAAAATGTATTTTTACGTATTTTTATTGACAATGAATAACAGAGTTGTTTAGGTATGTATAAACTAGATTTATCAAGTCAAAAACATATTACTTTTTTGCACATTTACAAAGTTTAGGAAAAGTAAACGTTAGTCATGTCTAGTATTGTATATTATTATTAGCATTTAATTTATTGTCGAAATTCATTTCGCTTCATGAATTCTGAGCAGTGACTGTACTTGCAGAGCGACAGATTTGTTTTATAAATACTTAACACTGAAGTGGTGGCAGAACATTTAGACGCCGCTGATATGTTTTGTCAGCTAAACATTTTTGTATATTGGAAAGATAGTCTAGCACCTTGTCTTAAAACTCTCTGCACGTATATAGAATTCTCTGATAAACAATGTGTAGTAACACTATGTACTTCAATCAATTTTAAAACTGAACGTCCAAAAATATAGCTACCGATCAATAACCTTTACCACATGGTTGCTAATACAAATTAGGTAAAATCACCATCACATTAATTGTTTACACTCCATGAAGTGATTTTAACTTTCTTATCGTTAGCTCAGATCCATTCCCAGCATAACTGTTGGACTTATTTACTTACCTTTCCGGCAAATAAACTGGATGTTCTCACACCAAAAATCTTTCCGAGTTGTGTTTCTAAATTCAACAAATCAGTGAACTTTAGAGATCGTCTATTGTAGGTTTGGGAAAATTCGGTTCGTAATTCACTATTTACACACTACTAGGCGTAGTTGCTAGTCAAACACTACTAATTTTGGCTTGTTATGACAATTCTATTCGTTTTATCTTGATTTCTTTATTCTTCGTAATTATCACAGAAAAATATGAAATTCGGTGTCAATGGTGTTCTAATGTTTAGCCCAGATTCTGTATGGTCAATATCTTATGCAAATGGAAGAAAATCTTGCAGCAAATTCCACGGGAACCTTACTTTTTTAGTGGTATAATGATGTAAACAAAACCGGAAAGTAATTCGTGTGTTGGCAAACTAGTTTATTTCATCACTGAAGACAACATCCTGAATGAGAGATAATATTTCTTTTCCTCATTTTATTTTCTTTAACGTATGATTAAAAATTGCTGACCTGACAGTGATTTAATGAAAAAAATTTTTTCTTGGTTTTAAATAGCCCAAATAAAAAACCCAATTCAATCATTCGACTTTTAGGTTACTTTAAAAAAAGAGGCGTTACAGTATTTAGAGCATGTTCGTGATTCAAAAGAAGCCGAAAAGATGTATGAGAAAGAAATGAGCAGAAGTATTGACGAACATATTGCGAAGCAACAAAACCTTGGTCACCATAAGAAAATGCAGCTTCTTGTAGCTAGAGAAAATTTGAAAAATGATGTAAACGAAGTATGTCGACAACAAATAGTGGAAAAAAGTTAGTTGTATGTCTTTATATAGTATTTTATTATATTTTATCAAAATGGTATTAGATAAATATTTGTTCATTTGTCTGTTGTGTGCCTTTAAATATCTTTAGAATGTTTGTAAATGTGTAGGAACTTGTTAGGATGATCAGAAACGTTTTCTAAATTCAACAAATATTGATATCTACTTTATGATATTGCCATCAATTTTAAGCTTCCTGGTAACAGGAACATGTTGGTTACAAATCATATTGCACAAATAATACCAGTGAATCTAGAATGACAGGTTTCATTGAGTTGAGATAACAATCCCAACGTCTGAGCTTTTTGTTAAGTCCTTGAGAAAGTGAAACCACTAATTGTCCAGGGTACTGGTGATTCACTAATTGGTTTGGAAAGCATGAATGACTACACTGGTTTAGCATTTATTTAAAATATAACCAAAAGATGAAAAACTATGGTTCAGGATTTTACTACATGTCTGGCTAAAAGGTATCAAATTTATTTCAGTCATAACACTTCTTCCACGTATTTCATGAATAAAAATAGGTATGCATCTTCTGATTGTCTCAAATGATCAATTTGTAGGATGTATGAAATATCACTGGACCCTTGTCGAATTGTCTGTGAAGCTGAACTTATCCCCACCTTGGAGGACTTGTCAATGATTAGATTGTTTCACGAGCTACATTCAAGTCAATTATAAATAACTAGGGTTGACCATTGCAAGCTATGGTACTAGTAAAGGCAGTAATCGATTGCTTCTTGTTCAGTTTCATACTCTATGTGTCTAAGTAAAACGTTTAAGTGGCAAGATTTTATTCGCTTTCGATATCTTCCTGTACAAGCTGAATAGCCGTAAAGATGACACAGATATTCAGGATTCTACAATCTTTTTATCTGTATCACATTTATATCAACTCAGCCAAATCAGAAGTCAGAGATGAATGCGTTCAAAAATACATCTGTAAGATTTTTGAGACGTGGAGAACTGTTTGATCTAAAATGGCTAGTAGTTGCAAGGGATCCATAGCACGACGCGCCCAAGTGGGTGCGAGCTTGTGATCTGATGTGGGTGCACTTTCAGCTAGGGTGTGTTCAGTAAAACTACTGAAGCCAGAATCAATGTCGAAGACTCACAGAGCTATTTATTTTGAGGGTTCATTTGCTGCTACAGCCGGGCCGCCAAATTAGGTGAAGTCGAGCTAAACAGTTATTGCTCATTGTGAATCCAACGTAAGATTGTGTACTTTGCGCAGTCACACTATTCCTGTACAACTCCAGGATATTAACACCCACACTAAATCTCATCCAGCTAACGAATAAAGGATGACACCATTTTGAATTTGAAATACGGCCTGTTACTAGATGTCCGGTTGATACTTTATACATAAATTGAATCACTCTACACCAGATGCACGATTTACGGCCAAAAATAGGAAGTCAGAGTACAAGCTAAACAATTCTTTACTTAACACAATTACAAGCAGTATATATTCAGTGATTGCATAGTACAAATCAACAATAGGAAGGGGATCACATATTCGATAGTTGGCAATCTTAGTGTCTGTTTGTCCTCAGTGGCTAATCACATTTTACTTCCGCTATTCACACATTAAAGGTGGGATCTGGTTTGAAATGTTAGTCGAGCTGACCCACATATAAGATTCTAACTCGAAATCGAGCTATTGAGTCACAATTATTATTATGCACCGACGCCGCAAATAATAGTTTCTTCATCACTAGGAAGTTGTTTTTATGTACACTCACAGTTAGTGTACTTACTTTTGTTTGGGAAACTAAGAATTTTAACCGGCTACCACATTTAGAGTTCGACTGAAAACGATGTACTTAGTTTTGTACATGGTAAGTTAGTATTCATCACATAGCAGTCATTGTACGTACTTATGTACGGCATAGAGTAATGTCTCATAGTTTTTTTTTTAGGAAAAAAGCAGGATGAAGAAAAACGTGAACGCGTAGAAGAAGTGAAACAACTTAACAAAGTTATTGAACGAATGAAGTTAGACTCCAAGTATGAGCTGCACTTGCGACGCCAGAATATTGAAACATATCGTAACGCCTTAGAACGACAAATCGCTGACCAGCGAAGTAGGTATCGACAACTAATAGCTGATAATGAACGAGAGTTAGAGAAGAATAAGAAAACAGAGGAACAGCTCACTGAACTTGTTCATAATATCGTTGATTCAAATGAAACTGACTACAACAGACATCCATGGCAAAAACTGTTAGCTACTGGTCACTGGTCTATTCCAGTGTGGGATGGTGAACTTCAGATATCGAAATTTGCAAGTGCAAGGTATTAGACCAGAAAATTAATATTATAAAACGTATTTGACTGTTTTCATCGTAAATATAAGGGGGATTATTACTATTGCTGTTGTTGCTGTAATTGAAACAAATTAAACTATGTCATTTTATTGAAGCACTATAGAGTCATTTACTCATTGAAAATAAAAAAATATTTATTCTATATATTGCTTTTCATGCCTATAAATGGTTGGTCACAATGTTAAAGGTGAAGTATCAACCGGATATCTAGTAACAGTGTGATCCCAGTCACAGGCCGTATTTCAAATTCAAAAGTACACAATCTTACGTTGGATTCACAATGAGCAATAACTGTTTAGCTCGACTTCACCTAATTTGGCGGCCCGGCTGTAGCAGCAAATGAACCCTCAAAATAAATAGCTCTGTGAGTCTTCGACATTGATTCTGGCTTCAGTAGTTTTACTGAACACACCCTAGCTGAAAGTGCACCCACATCAGATCACAAGCTCGCACCCACTTGGGCGCGTCGTGCTATGGATCCCTTGCAACTACTAGCCATTTTAGATCAAACAGTTCTCCACGTCTCAAAAATCTTACAGATGTATTTTTGAACGCATTCATCTCTGACTTCTGATTTGGTTGGGTTGATATCTTTAAGTTATAAAGCGGTGAGACTACGATTTATGGACGACCTTTGAGCGACGCCTAAGTGACCTTGAGCGGACACCTACTGATTTGAACTAAATGAGGGTTATGAAGCAGTTAAATTTCACATTAACAGTTGACGGCCTGGTGTTGCAATCTGATTTCTTGTTTTCATCGCAAACCGACATCAGCTATAGTGTCAAAGTTCTATTTAGCCGAATTTATGGATTGGTTTCGTGCCAAAAATCGTGACTTGTTATCTTGCATCCATATTATTCTGAACTTGTACATGTGGTGCCGTTAACAGTGGCCGTTTTGATTCACTGATTATAAATAACGTGTCTCCATACAATTTCAGACTGCTCCACTTGGCACAAGGACGGCGCGTCGTTAAGGAATGATTTTTCAACTCTTCTATAGATCGTTTATTTCCATGTAGTTGCCTTTGTAAATGGATCGCACATCAGGGTCTGCTGCTTGAAGAGACAGCCAGTCGATCTCGGGGGCTGTACTAAGGACAGCACTTGTGGTATAGGGTTTACGAGACAGAGAGTTGGCGTTTGTGTGTCGGCTTCGGTGTTCGCAAGTAAAATCAAACTCTTGCAACCTCTCCTGCCAGCGCGCTACCTGACCTTCAATAACTCCACCCCTATCCTTTGATGATGCTAGGGTCATTTAAGTTTATTTTTAGACAAAATATTGTACTTTTTTGATGCCCTATATTCCAAATTCTGTTGAAAAACACCACTTCTATAAGTACCATTTTATATGATTGCCGGTCGGTTACAAATTATGGGTAGGCGGAGAACTGTAGGAATATAACGGTTATAAATAAGACAATGGGTAATGAAATAAAATTAGTTGTAAGTCGACATAGTGTACGTGAAAGTAGAAAGCTGATGAAAAATAGACAAGAAAGAATTCAAATTAACTGGATGTTGATGGTAGTTTATGCTATCCTAAGAGGGTTGATGAGCTACTGTAATTTTCTTATGCCCTGTTGATTATCACGTGACTAAATCGTCAATAGAACACCGACCTCTTTGAACTTAGTACTGTTCCAAGCCAATGAAGTGCCAACCAGTACAAGCAACATAGATTTTCTAAAAGCGTGCTCTATAAGCCCACAGCCCTAATTTTCTCCTCATCTAGCAGCTAGTCTTTTCTCTGCCAGAGTAAGTTGTCACTGATGGTCTCTAGACAGTGAATCTAGAGTATCGTGCCTTGGTACTCGTTTATAAATAACTATAAGTTTTTACTGAGTGTTGTGATAGTTATATGCCCGCCACTCAGAGATGCTGGAGATTGTCTTTTACTTTTATTAGTCCAGTGAACTTGTGGAGTGACATCAACTTGTGATAGGATATTTAGCATATCTGATTTTTTTCATGTTTCAACTGCCTATGTTTAAAGATTTGCAATTACAATCCTCATAATTTGTCATACACAAAGTTTTCAAATTATCCAGATAATTATGTTGTTAAATAAAAAGCAATGGTGGCTGAAAGACTACGTATTATGCACTTTTTCACATCCGTGGTACTCGATACGTAATGAATACTCTATGGTATACTGTCGTACAAAGATGATAGACTGTGGTGTTTGAATAAACTAATGACTCCTTGGTACTTGTTGAATGTTTGATTTCGAATTCTAAATACAGTACATTCGTTAGTGCTTGTGTAGTACTTCTTGATTCAATTACGTTATCCCTGGGATTATTAGTTCATACTATAATTCAAATACTTCTAATTATCATATTGGCGTCGCGACGGGGCCTGCGATGGAACAGTTAGATATTCATTCAACTTCTGAAGCTTTTGAGGACTATTTGGAAAGGTTTGAAATCTGGAGCATGACCAAGAAAGATGATGAGGATATTAATATCGTGGCACATTTTCTCACATTCATTGGAAAAGAAGCATATGGCTTATTAAAAGTTTTGGCTTCACCGGAAAAGCCCATTTCTCTCAAAGAACTACTTCTAGACTATGCAAAGTATACAAATTTCGAATGCGGTAAAGGGAGATTTCGTAAAATAATTCATGAGAATATAAAAAATTCCACTACATGACGTCACCCCATCCCAGTGCATACTCAAGGTTATGCAGTTCACGAAGATGGGCACAAGTTTAGTCAATGTTTTTCTTGTGGCAAGTTCCACCCTTTTAATTCATGTAAATTTCGTAATTGTAAGTGCTTTAAATGTGGTGATGTCGGACATATTCAGTCAGTTTGTAATACTACTGTTCATCTTGCTGCAACTAATATTCAGTCTTTCGATTCTGATTCTATTAATCTGAATATTTATAATGATCATTTATCTTTATCGACGATTTCAAAAGACAGTTTAGAGTCATGTAGCAGTTCAGAGTTGAATGAAACTCAGGATCCTTGCGAGAAAACAATTCCTAATCAATCAACTTATCAGCTTTCTCATGTTATTGCACCAGATATGATTTTTCCTAATGATTCACATATTTCTGATGAAATTTCGGTGAAACTCTATTTTATGGACGACCTTTAACGTACGTTTAAGTGACCTTGAGAACATTAGCCAATCAGAAGAGAGCTGGTATAGAGTAAAAATATATTATGAAAAACTGATGAATTACAATGGATATTCTTCTTTCACATGATTTAGGAACTTGTTAAGGTTTGATAAAGGTTCAGAAGTTCTAAAATCATAATGCATGCGGTATAGGAACTCGTCCATATGGCTCCATATTAATCGTCCTCTGGAACCGTGGTAGGGTCTTAAAAATACTTCAGCCTAGACCACATGCCTTCAATATTGTTTGTATGAACCCCCGTCATTGGATCGACAAAATGACGTATATTCACTGAAGTGTTACTTACCCAATCTTCCTTTATAAAACGTCCTTTGTTGTATTTTCGCTTTCTAATTACTGTCTCATCTATTTCCACTATCTTTCCAACTCCCCCAAACGATTCATGTACTTGTGATCGCGCAAAGAAATTGCCAGTTCGAGCAGATTTTTTTCTCCAACATATAGTACAACGAAATACAATATCATCACGGTAGTCTGCACATCGTGCTGCAGTCATTTGATTGCCGCAGTTACAGACACAGGAACTTCTTAATAGTCCCATCTGTTATAGTCGCTCAACAATCACCTCTTCTCTGAAATCTGCTGTAAAACGGTCGAATGAAAGCATCTAGAATCGAACTTAGCGCCGTGACCTTGAACTTCCTCAAACGCCTCTGATTGGCTCGTCCATAAATTAGAGTCCTACCGAATTTTCTTACAAATCTGATGAGAATATTTCGGATGAACCTAATGATGATCAAAAAGCTGATTTAGTTTTGATAGATGCTGATTTTTCTAATGATTCTTTGCTCTGCAATGACATTCTTAATAAATGTGAGGAAAATACTTCAGAAGAATTCAATCCTGATGACGTCGTATCAAATGTTATTTGTCCTCACAATGTATTGTGTTTCTTATGGGAAACCTGTTCAATGCGAAACACAAGTACTAAATGAGTTCGATTTTGAATACGATTCATATGATTTCACATCAACTGTTGTTTATCCTTATCATAAATTCACTTCCAATGTATACTCTAGTCAATGTGAGAAAGATGTTTTAAATAAAACCACATTATTCATAACTGGGGGATATGAAGATCCGACATTATTTCGTGGGGGAGGATAGTCTGAATGTCTATGGTTGAAATTCTAGGTAGCAGTACTTTCAGTACTCAACCGACATGATGATTGTACACAATCCCAGAAATCAAGTGAGTCTGTTCCGATTTCAGTTGTTTATTCTAATAATAATGAGTGCATTCTAGATAATACAGAGTCTTTATCCAATACATTGTCGGACAGACACAGCATGAACTTGAGGACAAGACGTACAATTGATTACAGACACTTAGACTCTAATTTAAGCTGTGGCGGATGTGGTGTTTGAATAAACTAATGACTCCTTGGTACTTGTTGAATGTTTGATTTCGAATTCTAAATACAGTACATTCGTTAGTGCTTGTGTAGTACTTCTTGATTCAATTACGTTATCCCTGGGATTATTAGTTCATACTATAATTCAAATACTTCTAATTATCATATAGACAACGGAAAACTAACACGTATCAACACAAAAATGAGTTTAATAAGGAGTGTCCATGTTGATGTTGATAGTATCGTTCCACTCTTTTTCACATGATATTATCAACCAAGAATAGTGGAGTTACTGCTTCTTAACGTACGGAAACAGGCCAGATCAACTGCAAGAGATCGATAATAGTAATAACATTATTGTATTGGCATTTAATGGTGACTGTTTTCTCAAGTAAAAGTTTGTTTATAACCTGAGCAACTCAATTGAAGATAAGGTAAAATCTATACGTATGGGATACATATTACTCAGGTAGGATCTTTGTGAGATTTAACTCTACTGGACCAGACTATGAATGGATTTATTGGCCATCGCTCTACTTGATAACTCAAGTGTCCGCGAACTACTTCGCAAACGTTTTCTGGGTGAAAACTTCTTAGACTGAAGAGTTCTGGGTGGAAGAAGTGTTTAAATAATTAAAAGCTTTATTTTATCTAACAAGAAGGACTTCAATACTATTATCTCTGGTTGTCTAACACTGTCCCACTTGACTAAAAGAGGTTTTAGAGACCAGTTAGGTAAAGGATGACTCATATCTGGACATCTAATTACTTGATAACTAGTTGTGGAGGTTGTCAGACTACATTTTTGATGTCATAATACATTTTCCAGAGAGAGCATTTTCAATGCATTTAGGTTTGCGAAAATATAAGTACTTAGTAAACGACCACGTGCTTTATTCATATATACCTCTAGTAAGTCGTCTGTCGATTTTTTCACTGAGACTGTGAGTACAGATGGAATGAAGAAGCACATGTAGCGTGGAGTCGAGTCGCGATTGACTATGAACACTACAGGAAGACTACGTGCCAGTTAACCAATAAGATCCCCGTAGGTCAATGTCAGAAGGCAGATGGTGGCTGTAGTCTAGATGTATTTTCTAGCGATCTCGTGGTATCGAAAGAATACCGAGATCGTGCCGAAGGAGTACAAGCGTGATTACTAAGCGTAACCGAATTCGTACAAGTTCAAAGTCAACAAGAGAGTAATATGGCTGTCATTAGCACAGTTAATCAAACGAGCACAGTAAAACAATCACTGGTACAATTGGTTATAATAATAATTGTTTTCATTGAAAGAATACTGGAAATTTATATTCAGGAGAGGATGAAGAGTGAATTCATCTGGATCTTTCGTGATGGTTGTGAATCATGTCAATCAAAGTATCCAATCACTGACGGCAACTGTCTTGGGGACCCCAAACTTGTAGTCTGTATTGACCTGGGCAGCTCAGAGCAACGACTATTCACTAATTTTATTAAAAACACCTTTTGTTTTTGCCTTCCTGGACTTCATTTGAACCTATATACACACCAGCAAAACATCACTGGTCGGGGAAGATAGTGGTTTGACATGCGTTACATATGGCTCAACCACCTTGTTGGATGAAGATCACGAATTTCATTAATCGATTTGTCATTTCTACTTCGCGCTACAATCCTAATCCTAGCATCTCGCCCGGTCGTTCTATGATACACAAGCAATGCTTTAGGGACACGTGTGATTAAAATTCAGCGGCCTGTGTTTATAATTCATGCGTAAGGGCTATAAAGTTATGTAAACAGGAGTAGTAAACAACATGCCTGTATGTTGGTTGACGAACGGACATCCCGTCTGTGCTAGATGTTAGGCAAACCGGGAAACGAGCGTTATGATTCTGTGCCAAAACCCCATTTGACACTAAGAAACCGGATCTGACACCGCTTACTGAATGAATGAAATGATAGACATACCCAAGCGCATGGTATCTGCCAAGAAACGGACCAAAATAGTTTGCATGAATTCTCTGCCAGGCCTCAGACGATACTGGCCATGGAGTCCACTTCGAAGGCTGATTTTTGAGCTTATGACACTTTTCACAATTGTTTGCTATACAACAAATATCTGCATGTATCTCTGGCCACCAACACGTGAGCCTCGCCAAGAACTTCATTTTCTCAACACCTAAATGTCCACTGTGAAGATCTTCAAGGACAGATTTATGCAATGAAGGAGGAATAACAACACGATCATTTAAACACAAAATACCACCAAGAGTAGTGGATAACTCATTTCACTTTGAAAAATAGACAGGAAATCTACGTTTCAGATTAGCATTCCAACCTTACCGTATAGCACTGAGTATACATCCAAAGTATCTACGAGTTTCTCTAATGAGATCTGGACGTTTCACTGGTAAAGGTTGCACTAACAAACAGTCTGAAGCATTAACAGGTCTATCTTGTAATGATTGTCGAGAAATGTAGTCAACATGTTGAATTCGTTTGGAACTCCTGTGCTGGACCGTATAGTCATAGGCACTCAAAGCAATACTCCATCGTTGAACCATAGCAGCTTAGGAAAGTGCTAAGGATTTTTCAGGATAATAAATAAACTTTAAAGCCTCATGGTCAGTAACAATAGTGAATTTCTTTCCGAATAAATATTTATGAAGTCTTTTAACAGCCCAACACACAGCTAATGCTTCTCGCTGAGTCAGTGAACAGCCTTGTTCAGTAACAGTAAGTTTGAGTGAAACACAAATAACTGGTCTACCTTCCTGTTCCAAAACTGCACTAATACCCACAAGTGATGCATCAGTGATAAGCACAGACTGTACACTAGGGGAGTAAGTTCGAAGAACAGCATCACTTTGAAGAAACATCAGTAGACTTTGTAACATGACTCTTGTTCCTCACCCCATTTGAATGAATTGGATGTCAAAATATTAAATAAACAATTTGCATGACAAGAAAAATTAGGAATAAAACGGGAATAGTATTGAAGAGTACCCACTAGTGAACGTAGTTCCGTAAGATTTTTTGGAGACAGTGCATTTGTCAGTGGAGCTAGTCGTTTCATATCTGGGCTAAAACCATTACCATTAACTAGGTATCCAAGACATTCAAAACTCGATACACAAAATGAACACTTATTTGGATCCACCATAATATTATTTTTGATTAAACGACGCAATAAAGCAATAAGTCTCTGGTCATGAACTACCTTATCACAACCATGAACAATGAGATCATCTTGATAAACTTCAACACCTTCAAGATCACTAACCACCTTATTCATCACTTCCTGAAATATGGCTGGAGAACAACACAAACCAAATGGAAGGAAATTGTATTTGAACAGACCAAAAGAAGTTTTAATTGTCGTCAAAATAGATGAGGATTGGTCTAAAAGGATCTGAAGATAAGCATCTTTTAGGTCAACTTTCGTGTGTTGGCAAACTAGTTTATTTCATCACTGAAGACAACATCCTGAATGAGAGATAATATTTCTTTTCCTCATTTTATTTTCTTTAACGTATGATTAAAAATTGCTGACCTGACAGTGATTTAATGAAAAAAATTTTTTCTTGGTTTTAAATAGCCCAAATAAAAAACCCAATTCAATCATTCGACTTTTAGGTTACTTTAAAAAAAGAGGCGTTACAGTATTTAGAGCATGTTCGTGATTCAAAAGAAGCCGAAAAGATGTATGAGAAAGAAATGAGCAGAAGTATTGACGAACATATTGCGAAGCAACAAAACCTTGGTCACCATAAGAAAATGCAGCTTCTTGTAGCTAGAGAAAATTTGAAAAATGATGTAAACGAAGTATGTCGACAACAAATAGTGGAAAAAAGTTAGTTGTATGTCTTTATATAGTATTTTATTATATTTTATCAAAATGGTATTAGATAAATATTTGTTCATTTGTCTGTTGTGTGCCTTTAAATATCTTTAGAATGTTTGTAAATGTGTAGGAACTTGTTAGGATGATCAGAAACGTTTTCTAAATTCAACAAATATTGATATCTACTTTATGATATTGCCATCAATTTTAAGCTTCCTGGTAACAGGAACATGTTGGTTACAAATCATATTGCACAAATAATACCAGTGAATCTAGAATGACAGGTTTCATTGAGTTGAGATAACAATCCCAACGTCTGAGCTTTTTGTTAAGTCCTTGAGAAAGTGAAACCACTAATTGTCCAGGGTACTGGTGATTCACTAATTGGTTTGGAAAGCATGAATGACTACACTGGTTTAGCATTTATTTAAAATATAACCAAAAGATGAAAAACTATGGTTCAGGATTTTACTACATGTCTGGCTAAAAGGTATCAAATTTATTTCAGTCATAACACTTCTTCCACGTATTTCATGAATAAAAATAGGTATGCATCTTCTGATTGTCTCAAATGATCAATTTGTAGGATGTATGAAATATCACTGGACCCTTGTCGAATTGTCTGTGAAGCTGAACTTATCCCCACCTTGGAGGACTTGTCAATGATTAGATTGTTTCACGAGCTACATTCAAGTCAATTATAAATAACTAGGGTTGACCATTGCAAGCTATGGTACTAGTAAAGGCAGTAATCGATTGCTTCTTGTTCAGTTTCATACTCTATGTGTCTAAGTAAAACGTTTAAGTGGCAAGATTTTATTCGCTTTCGATATCTTCCTGTACAAGCTGAATAGCCGTAAAGATGACACAGATATTCAGGATTCTACAATCTTTTTATCTGTATCACATTTATATCAACTCAGCCAAATCAGAAGTCAGAGATGAATGCGTTCAAAAATACATCTGTAAGATTTTTGAGACGTGGAGAACTGTTTGATCTAAAATGGCTAGTAGTTGCAAGGGATCCATAGCACGACGCGCCCAAGTGGGTGCGAGCTTGTGATCTGATGTGGGTGCACTTTCAGCTAGGGTGTGTTCAGTAAAACTACTGAAGCCAGAATCAATGTCGAAGACTCACAGAGCTATTTATTTTGAGGGTTCATTTGCTGCTACAGCCGGGCCGCCAAATTAGGTGAAGTCGAGCTAAACAGTTATTGCTCATTGTGAATCCAACGTAAGATTGTGTACTTTGCGCAGTCACACTATTCCTGTACAACTCCAGGATATTAACACCCACACTAAATCTCATCCAGCTAACGAATAAAGGATGACACCATTTTGAATTTGAAATACGGCCTGTTACTAGATGTCCGGTTGATACTTTATACATAAATTGAATCACTCTACACCAGATGCACGATTTACGGCCAAAAATAGGAAGTCAGAGTACAAGCTAAACAATTCTTTACTTAACACAATTACAAGCAGTATATATTCAGTGATTGCATAGTACAAATCAACAATAGGAAGGGGATCACATATTCGATAGTTGGCAATCTTAGTGTCTGTTTGTCCTCAGTGGCTAATCACATTTTACTTCCGCTATTCACACATTAAAGGTGGGATCTGGTTTGAAATGTTAGTCGAGCTGACCCACATATAAGATTCTAACTCGAAATCGAGCTATTGAGTCACAATTATTATTATGCACCGACGCCGCAAATAATAGTTTCTTCATCACTAGGAAGTTGTTTTTATGTACACTCACAGTTAGTGTACTTACTTTTGTTTGGGAAACTAAGAATTTTAACCGGCTACCACATTTAGAGTTCGACTGAAAACGATGTACTTAGTTTTGTACATGGTAAGTTAGTATTCATCACATAGCAGTCATTGTACGTACTTATGTACGGCATAGAGTAATGTCTCATAGTTTTTTTTTTAGGAAAAAAGCAGGATGAAGAAAAACGTGAACGCGTAGAAGAAGTGAAACAACTTAACAAAGTTATTGAACGAATGAAGTTAGACTCCAAGTATGAGCTGCACTTGCGACGCCAGAATATTGAAACATATCGTAACGCCTTAGAACGACAAATCGCTGACCAGCGAAGTAGGTATCGACAACTAATAGCTGATAATGAACGAGAGTTAGAGAAGAATAAGAAAACAGAGGAACAGCTCACTGAACTTGTTCATAATATCGTTGATTCAAATGAAACTGACTACAACAGACATCCATGGCAAAAACTGTTAGCTACTGGTCACTGGTCTATTCCAGTGTGGGATGGTGAACTTCAGATATCGAAATTTGCAAGTGCAAGGTATTAGACCAGAAAATTAATATTATAAAACGTATTTGACTGTTTTCATCGTAAATATAAGGGGGATTATTACTATTGCTGTTGTTGCTGTAATTGAAACAAATTAAACTATGTCATTTTATTGAAGCACTATAGAGTCATTTACTCATTGAAAATAAAAAAATATTTATTCTATATATTGCTTTTCATGCCTATAAATGGTTGGTCACAATGTTAAAGGTGAAGTATCAACCGGATATCTAGTAACAGTGTGATCCCAGTCACAGGCCGTATTTCAAATTCAAAAGTACACAATCTTACGTTGGATTCACAATGAGCAATAACTGTTTAGCTCGACTTCACCTAATTTGGCGGCCCGGCTGTAGCAGCAAATGAACCCTCAAAATAAATAGCTCTGTGAGTCTTCGACATTGATTCTGGCTTCAGTAGTTTTACTGAACACACCCTAGCTGAAAGTGCACCCACATCAGATCACAAGCTCGCACCCACTTGGGCGCGTCGTGCTATGGATCCCTTGCAACTACTAGCCATTTTAGATCAAACAGTTCTCCACGTCTCAAAAATCTTACAGATGTATTTTTGAACGCATTCATCTCTGACTTCTGATTTGGTTGGGTTGATATCTTTAAGTTATAAAGCGGTGAGACTACGATTTATGGACGACCTTTGAGCGACGCCTAAGTGACCTTGAGCGGACACCTACTGATTTGAACTAAATGAGGGTTATGAAGCAGTTAAATTTCACATTAACAGTTGACGGCCTGGTGTTGCAATCTGATTTCTTGTTTTCATCGCAAACCGACATCAGCTATAGTGTCAAAGTTCTATTTAGCCGAATTTATGGATTGGTTTCGTGCCAAAAATCGTGACTTGTTATCTTGCATCCATATTATTCTGAACTTGTACATGTGGTGCCGTTAACAGTGGCCGTTTTGATTCACTGATTATAAATAACGTGTCTCCATACAATTTCAGACTGCTCCACTTGGCACAAGGACGGCGCGTCGTTAAGGAATGATTTTTCAACTCTTCTATAGATCGTTTATTTCCATGTAGTTGCCTTTGTAAATGGATCGCACATCAGGGTCTGCTGCTTGAAGAGACAGCCAGTCGATCTCGGGGGCTGTACTAAGGACAGCACTTGTGGTATAGGGTTTACGAGACAGAGAGTTGGCGTTTGTGTGTCGGCTTCGGTGTTCGCAAGTAAAATCAAACTCTTGCAACCTCTCCTGCCAGCGCGCTACCTGACCTTCAATAACTCCACCCCTATCCTTTGATGATGCTAGGGTCATTTAAGTTTATTTTTAGACAAAATATTGTACTTTTTTGATGCCCTATATTCCAAATTCTGTTGAAAAACACCACTTCTATAAGTACCATTTTATATGATTGCCGGTCGGTTACAAATTATGGGTAGGCGGAGAACTGTAGGAATATAACGGTTATAAATAAGACAATGGGTAATGAAATAAAATTAGTTGTAAGTCGACATAGTGTACGTGAAAGTAGAAAGCTGATGAAAAATAGACAAGAAAGAATTCAAATTAACTGGATGTTGATGGTAGTTTATGCTATCCTAAGAGGGTTGATGAGCTACTGTAATTTTCTTATGCCCTGTTGATTATCACGTGACTAAATCGTCAATAGAACACCGACCTCTTTGAACTTAGTACTGTTCCAAGCCAATGAAGTGCCAACCAGTACAAGCAACATAGATTTTCTAAAAGCGTGCTCTATAAGCCCACAGCCCTAATTTTCTCCTCATCTAGCAGCTAGTCTTTTCTCTGCCAGAGTAAGTTGTCACTGATGGTCTCTAGACAGTGAATCTAGAGTATCGTGCCTTGGTACTCGTTTATAAATAACTATAAGTTTTTACTGAGTGTTGTGATAGTTATATGCCCGCCACTCAGAGATGCTGGAGATTGTCTTTTACTTTTATTAGTCCAGTGAACTTGTGGAGTGACATCAACTTGTGATAGGATATTTAGCATATCTGATTTTTTTCATGTTTCAACTGCCTATGTTTAAAGATTTGCAATTACAATCCTCATAATTTGTCATACACAAAGTTTTCAAATTATCCAGATAATTATGTTGTTAAATAAAAAGCAATGGTGGCTGAAAGACTACGTATTATGCACTTTTTCACATCCGTGGTACTCGATACGTAATGAATACTCTATGGTATACTGTCGTACAAAGATGATAGACTGTGGTGTTTGAATAAACTAATGACTCCTTGGTACTTGTTGAATGTTTGATTTCGAATTCTAAATACAGTACATTCGTTAGTGCTTGTGTAGTACTTCTTGATTCAATTACGTTATCCCTGGGATTATTAGTTCATACTATAATTCAAATACTTCTAATTATCATATTGGCGTCGCGACGGGGCCTGCGATGGAACAGTTAGATATTCATTCAACTTCTGAAGCTTTTGAGGACTATTTGGAAAGGTTTGAAATCTGGAGCATGACCAAGAAAGATGATGAGGATATTAATATCGTGGCACATTTTCTCACATTCATTGGAAAAGAAGCATATGGCTTATTAAAAGTTTTGGCTTCACCGGAAAAGCCCATTTCTCTCAAAGAACTACTTCTAGACTATGCAAAGTATACAAATTTCGAATGCGGTAAAGGGAGATTTCGTAAAATAATTCATGAGAATATAAAAAATTCCACTACATGACGTCACCCCATCCCAGTGCATACTCAAGGTTATGCAGTTCACGAAGATGGGCACAAGTTTAGTCAATGTTTTTCTTGTGGCAAGTTCCACCCTTTTAATTCATGTAAATTTCGTAATTGTAAGTGCTTTAAATGTGGTGATGTCGGACATATTCAGTCAGTTTGTAATACTACTGTTCATCTTGCTGCAACTAATATTCAGTCTTTCGATTCTGATTCTATTAATCTGAATATTTATAATGATCATTTATCTTTATCGACGATTTCAAAAGACAGTTTAGAGTCATGTAGCAGTTCAGAGTTGAATGAAACTCAGGATCCTTGCGAGAAAACAATTCCTAATCAATCAACTTATCAGATTTCTCATGTTATTGCACCAGATATGATTTTTCCTAATGATTCACATATTTCTGATGAAATTTCGGTGAAACTCTATTTTATGGACGACCTTTAACGTACGTTTAAGTGACCTTGAGAACATTAGCCAATCAGAAGAGAGCTGGTATAGAGTAAAAATATATTATGAAAAAACTGATGAATTACAATGGATATTCTTCTTTCACATGATTTAGGAACTTGTTAAGGTTTGATAAAGGTTCAGAAGTTCTAAAATCATAATGCATGCGGTATAGGAACTCGTCCATATGGCTCCATATTAATCGTCCTCTGGAACCGTGGTAGGGTCTTAAAAATACTTCAGCCTAGACCACATGCCTTCAATATTGTTTGTATGAACCCCCGTCATTGGATCGACAAAATGACGTATATTCACTGAAGTGTTACTTACCCAATCTTCCTTTATAAAACGTCCTTTGTTGTATTTTCGCTTTCTAATTACTGTCTCATCTATTTCCACTATCTTTCCAACTCCCCCAAACGATTCATGTACTTGTGATCGCGCAAAGAAATTGCCAGTTCGAGCAGATTTTTTTCTCCAACATATAGTACAACGAAATACAATATCATCACGGTAGTCTGCACATCGTGCTGCAGTCATTTGATTGCCGCAGTTACAGACACAGGAACTTCTTAATAGTCCCATCTGTTATAGTCGCTCAACAATCACCTCTTCTCTGAAATCTGCTGTAAAACGGTCGAATGTGAGCATCTAGAATCGAACTTAGCGCCGTGACCCTGAACTTCCTCAAACGCCTCTGATTGGCTCGTCCATAAATTAGAGTCCTACCGAAATTTCTTACAAATCTGATGAGAATATTTCGGATGAACCTAATGATGATCAAAAAGCTGATTTAGTTTTGATAGATGCTGATTTTTCTAATGATTCTTTGCTCTGCAATGACATTCTTAATAAATGTGAGGAAAATACTTCAGAAGAATTCAATCCTGATGACGTCGTATCAAATGTTATTTGTCCTCACAATGTATTTGTTTCTTATGGGAAACCTGTTCAATGCGAAACACAAGTACTAAATGAGTTCGATTTTGAATACGATTCATATGATTTCACATCAACTGTTGTTTATCCTTATCATAAATTCACTTCCAATGTATACTCTAGTCAATGTGAGAAAGATGTTTTAAATAAAACCACATTATTCATAACTTGGGGATATGAAGATCCGACATTATTTCGTGGGGGAGGATAGTCTGAATGTCTATGGTTGAAATTCTAGGTAGCAGTACTTTCAGTACTCAACCGACATGATGATTGTACACAATCCCAGAAATCAAGTGAGTCTGTTCCGATTTCAGTTGTTTATTCTAATAATAATGAGTGCATTCTAGATAATACAGAGTCTTTATCCAATACATTGTCGGACAGACACAGCATGAACTTGAGGACAAGACGTACAATTGATTACAGACACTTAGACTCTAATTTAAGCTGTGGCGGATGTGGTGTTTGAATAAACTAATGACTCCTTGGTACTTGTTGAATGTTTGATTTCGAATTCTAAATACAGTACATTCGTTAGTGCTTGTGTAGTACTTCTTGATTCAATTACGTTATCCCTGGGATTATTAGTTCATACTATAATTCAAATACTTCTAATTATCATATAGACAACGGAAAACTAACACGTATCAACACAAAAATGAGTTTAATAAGGAGTGTCCATGTTGATGTTGATAGTATCGTTCCACTCTTTTTCACATGATATTATCAACCAAGAATAGTGGAGTTACTGCTTCTTAACGTACGGAAACAGGCCAGATCAACTGCAAGAGATCGATAATAGTAATAACATTATTGTATTGGCATTTAATGGTGACTGTTTTCTCAAGTAAAAGTTTGTTTATAACCTGAGCAACTCAATTGAAGATAAGGTAAAATCTATACGTATGGGATACATATTACTCAGGTAGGATCTTTGTGAGATTTAACTCTACTGGACCAGACTATGAATGGATTTATTGGCCATCGCTCTACTTGATAACTCAAGTGTCCGCGAACTACTTCGCAAACGTTTTCTGGGTGAAAACTTCTTAGACTGAAGAGTTCTGGGTGGAAGAAGTGTTTAAATAATTAAAAGCTTTATTTTATCTAACAAGAAGGACTTCAATACTATTATCTCTGGTTGTCTAACACTGTCCCACTTGACTAAAAGAGGTTTTAGAGACCAGTTAGGTAAAGGATGACTCATATCTGGACATCTAATTACTTGATAACTAGTTGTGGAGGTTGTCAGACTACATTTTTGATGTCATAATACATTTTCCAGAGAGAGCATTTTCAATGCATTTAGGTTTGCGAAAATATAAGTACTTAGTAAACGACCACGTGCTTTATTCATATATACCTCTAGTAAGTCGTCTGTCGATTTTTTCACTGAGACTGTGAGTACAGATGGAATGAAGAAGCACATGTAGCGTGGAGTCGAGTCGCGATTGACTATGAACACTACAGGAAGACTACGTGCCAGTTAACCAATAAGATCCCCGTAGGTCAATGTCAGAAGGCAGATGGTGGCTGTAGTCTAGATGTATTTTCTAGCGATCTCGTGGTATCGAAAGAATACCGAGATCGTGCCGAAGGAGTACAAGCGTGATTACTAAGCGTAACCGAATTCGTACAAGTTCAAAGTCAACAAGAGAGTAATATGGCTGTCATTAGCACAGTTAATCAAACGAGCACAGTAAAACAATCACTGGTACAATTGGTTATAATAATAATTGTTTTCATTGAAAGAATACTGGAAATTTATATTCAGGAGAGGATGAAGAGTGAATTCATCTGGATCTTTCGTGATGGTTGTGAATCATGTCAATCAAAGTATCCAATCACTGACGGCAACTGTCTTGGGGACCCCAAACTTGTAGTCTGTATTGACCTGGGCAGCTCAGAGCAACGACTATTCACTAATTTTATTAAAAACACCTTTTGTTTTTGCCTTCCTGGACTTCATTTGAACCTATATACACACCAGCAAAACATCACTGGTCGGGGAAGATAGTGGTTTGACATGCGTTACATATGGCTCAACCACCTTGTTGGATGAAGATCACGAATTTCATTAATCGATTTGTCATTTCTACTTCGCGCTACAATCCTAATCCTAGCATCTCGCCCGGTCGTTCTATGATACACAAGCAATGCTTTAGGGACACGTGTGATTAAAATTCAGCGGCCTGTGTTTATAATTCATGCGTAAGGGCTATAAAGTTATGTAAACAGGAGTAGTAAACAACATGCCTGTATGTTGGTTGACGAACGGACATCCCGTCTGTGCTAGATGTTAGGCAAACCGGGAAACGAGCGTTATGATTCTGTGCCAAAACCCCATTTGACACTAAGAAACCGGATCTGACACCGCTTACTGAATGAATGAAATGATAGACATACCCAAGCGCATGGTATCTGCCAAGAAACGGACCAAAATAGTTTGCATGAATTCTCTGCCAGGCCTCAGACGATACTGGCCATGGAGTCCACTTCGAAGGCTGATTTTTGAGCTTATGACACTTTTCACAATTGTTTGCTATACAACAAATATCTGCATGTATCTCTGGCCACCAACACGTGAGCCTCGCCAAGAACTTCATTTTCTCAACACCTAAATGTCCACTGTGAAGATCTTCAAGGACAGATTTATGCAATGAAGGAGGAATAACAACACGATCATTTAAACACAAAATACCACCAAGAGTAGTGGATAACTCATTTCACTTTGAAAAATAGACAGGAAATCTACGTTTCAGATTAGCATTCCAACCTTACCGTATAGCACTGAGTATACATCCAAAGTATCTACGAGTTTCTCTAATGAGATCTGGACGTTTCACTGGTAAAGGTTGCACTAACAAACAGTCTGAAGCATTAACAGGTCTATCTTGTAATGATTGTCGAGAAATGTAGTCAACATGTTGAATTCGTTTGGAACTCCTGTGCTGGACCGTATAGTCATAGGCACTCAAAGCAATACTCCATCGTTGAACCATAGCAGCTTAGGAAAGTGCTAAGGATTTTTCAGGATAATAAATAAACTTTAAAGCCTCATGGTCAGTAACAATAGTGAATTTCTTTCCGAATAAATATTTATGAAGTCTTTTAACAGCCCAACACACAGCTAATGCTTCTCGCTGAGTCAGTGAACAGCCTTGTTCAGTAACAGTAAGTTTGAGTGAAACACAAATAACTGGTCTACCTTCCTGTTCCAAAACTGCACTAATACCCACAAGTGATGCATCAGTGATAAGCACAGACTGTACACTAGGGGAGTAAGTTCGAAGAACAGCATCACTTTGAAGAAACATCAGTAGACTTTGTAACATGACTCTTGTTCCTCACCCCATTTGAATGAATTGGATGTCAAAATATTAAATAAACAATTTGCATGACAAGAAAAATTAGGAATAAAACGGGAATAGTATTGAAGAGTACCCACTAGTGAACGTAGTTCCGTAAGATTTTTTGGAGACAGTGCATTTGTCAGTGGAGCTAGTCGTTTCATATCTGGGCTAAAACCATTACCATTAACTAGGTATCCAAGACATTCAAAACTCGATACACAAAATGAACACTTATTTGGATCCACCATAATATTATTTTTGATTAAACGACGCAATAAAGCAATAAGTCTCTGGTCATGAACTACCTTATCACAACCATGAACAATGAGATCATCTTGATAAACTTCAACACCTTCAAGATCACTAACCACCTTATTCATCACTTCCTGAAATATGGCTGGAGAACAACACAAACCAAATGGAAGGAAATTGTATTTGAACAGACCAAAAGAAGTTTTAATTGTCGTCAAAATAGATGAGGATTGGTCTAAAAGGATCTGAAGATAAGCATCTTTTAGGTCAACTTTCGTGTGTTGGCAAACTAGTTTATTTCATCACTGAAGACAACATCCTGAATGAGAGATAATATTTCTTTTCCTCATTTTATTTTCTTTAACGTATGATTAAAAATTGCTGACCTGACAGTGATTTAATGAAAAAAATTTTTTCTTGGTTTTAAATAGCCCAAATAAAAAACCCAATTCAATCATTCGACTTTTAGGTTACTTTAAAAAAAGAGGCGTTACAGTATTTAGAGCATGTTCGTGATTCAAAAGAAGCCGAAAAGATGTATGAGAAAGAAATGAGCAGAAGTATTGACGAACATATTGCGAAGCAACAAAACCTTGGTCACCATAAGAAAATGCAGCTTCTTGTAGCTAGAGAAAATTTGAAAAATGATGTAAACGAAGTATGTCGACAACAAATAGTGGAAAAAAGTTAGTTGTATGTCTTTATATAGTATTTTATTATATTTTATCAAAATGGTATTAGATAAATATTTGTTCATTTGTCTGTTGTGTGCCTTTAAATATCTTTAGAATGTTTGTAAATGTGTAGGAACTTGTTAGGATGATCAGAAACGTTTTCTAAATTCAACAAATATTGATATCTACTTTATGATATTGCCATCAATTTTAAGCTTCCTGGTAACAGGAACATGTTGGTTACAAATCATATTGCACAAATAATACCAGTGAATCTAGAATGACAGGTTTCATTGAGTTGAGATAACAATCCCAACGTCTGAGCTTTTTGTTAAGTCCTTGAGAAAGTGAAACCACTAATTGTCCAGGGTACTGGTGATTCACTAATTGGTTTGGAAAGCATGAATGACTACACTGGTTTAGCATTTATTTAAAATATAACCAAAAGATGAAAAACTATGGTTCAGGATTTTACTACATGTCTGGCTAAAAGGTATCAAATTTATTTCAGTCATAACACTTCTTCCACGTATTTCATGAATAAAAATAGGTATGCATCTTCTGATTGTCTCAAATGATCAATTTGTAGGATGTATGAAATATCACTGGACCCTTGTCGAATTGTCTGTGAAGCTGAACTTATCCCCACCTTGGAGGACTTGTCAATGATTAGATTGTTTCACGAGCTACATTCAAGTCAATTATAAATAACTAGGGTTGACCATTGCAAGCTATGGTACTAGTAAAGGCAGTAATCGATTGTTTCTTGTTCAGTTTCATACTCTATGTGTCTAAGTAAAACGTTTAAGTGGCAAGATTTTATTCGCTTTCGATATCTTCCTGTACAAGCTGAATAGCCGTAAAGATGACACAGATATTCAGGATTCTACAATCTTTTTATCTGTATCACATTTATATCAACTCAGCCAAATCAGAAGTCAGAGATGAATGCGTTCAAAAATACATCTGTAAGATTTTTGAGACGTGGAGAACTGTTTGATCTAAAATGGCTAGTAGTTGCAAGGGATCCATAGCACGACGCGCCCAAGTGGGTGCGAGCTTGTGATCTGATGTGGGTGCACTTTCAGCTAGGGTGTGTTCAGTAAAACTACTGAAGCCAGAATCAATGTCGAAGACTCACAGAGCTATTTATTTTGAGGGTTCATTTGCTGCTACAGCCGGGCCGCCAAATTAGGTGAAGTCGAGCTAAACAGTTATTGCTCATTGTGAATCCAACGTAAGATTGTGTACTTTGCGCAGTCACACTATTCCTGTACAACTCCAGGATATTAACACCCACACTAAATCTCATCCAGCTAACGAATAAAGGATGACACCATTTTGAATTTGAAATACGGCCTGTTACTAGATGTCCGGTTGATACTTTATACATAAATTGAATCACTCTACACCAGATGCACGATTTACGGCCAAAAATAGGAAGTCAGAGTACAAGCTAAACAATTCTTTACTTAACACAATTACAAGCAGTATATATTCAGTGATTGCATAGTACAAATCAACAATAGGAAGGGGATCACATATTCGATAGTTGGCAATCTTAGTGTCTGTTTGTCCTCAGTGGCTAATCACATTTTACTTCCGCTATTCACACATTAAAGGTGGGATCTGGTTTGAAATGTTAGTCGAGCTGACCCACATATAAGATTCTAACTCGAAATCGAGCTATTGAGTCACAATTATTATTATGCACCGACGCCGCAAATAATAGTTTCTTCATCACTAGGAAGTTGTTTTTATGTACACTCACAGTTAGTGTACTTACTTTTGTTTGGGAAACTAAGAATTTTAACCGGCTACCACATTTAGAGTTCGACTGAAAACGATGTACTTAGTTTTGTACATGGTAAGTTAGTATTCATCACATAGCAGTCATTGTACGTACTTATGTACGGCATAGAGTAATGTCTCATAGTTTTTTTTTTAGGAAAAAAGCAGGATGAAGAAAAACGTGAACGCGTAGAAGAAGTGAAACAACTTAACAAAGTTATTGAACGAATGAAGTTAGACTCCAAGTATGAGCTGCACTTGCGACGCCAGAATATTGAAACATATCGTAACGCCTTAGAACGACAAATCGCTGACCAGCGAAGTAGGTATCGACAACTAATAGCTGATAATGAACGAGAGTTAGAGAAGAATAAGAAAACAGAGGAACAGCTCACTGAACTTGTTCATAATATCGTTGATTCAAATGAAACTGACTACAACAGACATCCATGGCAAAAACTGTTAGCTACTGGTCACTGGTCTATTCCAGTGTGGGATGGTGAACTTCAGATATCGAAATTTGCAAGTGCAAGGTATTAGACCAGAAAATTAATATTATAAAACGTATTTGACTGTTTTCATCGTAAATATAAGGGGGATTATTACTATTGCTGTTGTTGCTGTAATTGAAACAAATTAAACTATGTCATTTTATTGAAGCACTATAGAGTCATTTACTCATTGAAAATAAAAAAATATTTATTCTATATATTGCTTTTCATGCCTATAAATGGTTGGTCACAATGTTAAAGGTGAAGTATCAACCGGATATCTAGTAACAGTGTGATCCCAGTCACAGGCCGTATTTCAAATTCAAAAGTACACAATCTTACGTTGGATTCACAATGAGCAATAACTGTTTAGCTCGACTTCACCTAATTTGGCGGCCCGGCTGTAGCAGCAAATGAACCCTCAAAATAAATAGCTCTGTGAGTCTTCGACATTGATTCTGGCTTCAGTAGTTTTACTGAACACACCCTAGCTGAAAGTGCACCCACATCAGATCACAAGCTCGCACCCACTTGGGCGCGTCGTGCTATGGATCCCTTGCAACTACTAGCCATTTTAGATCAAACAGTTCTCCACGTCTCAAAAATCTTACAGATGTATTTTTGAACGCATTCATCTCTGACTTCTGATTTGGTTGGGTTGATATCTTTAAGTTATAAAGCGGTGAGACTACGATTTATGGACGACCTTTGAGCGACGCCTAAGTGACCTTGAGCGGACACCTACTGATTTGAACTAAATGAGGGTTATGAAGCAGTTAAATTTCACATTAACAGTTGACGGCCTGGTGTTGCAATCTGATTTCTTGTTTTCATCGCAAACCGACATCAGCTATAGTGTCAAAGTTCTATTTAGCCGAATTTATGGATTGGTTTCGTGCCAAAAATCGTGACTTGTTATCTTGCATCCATATTATTCTGAACTTGTACATGTGGTGCCGTTAACAGTGGCCGTTTTGATTCACTGATTATAAATAACGTGTCTCCATACAATTTCAGACTGCTCCACTTGGCACAAGGACGGCGCGTCGTTAAGGAATGATTTTTCAACTCTTCTATAGATCGTTTATTTCCATGTAGTTGCCTTTGTAAATGGATCGCACATCAGGGTCTGCTGCTTGAAGAGACAGCCAGTCGATCTCGGGGGCTGTACTAAGGACAGCACTTGTGGTATAGGGTTTACGAGACAGAGAGTTGGCGTTTGTGTGTCGGCTTCGGTGTTCGCAAGTAAAATCAAACTCTTGCAACCTCTCCTGCCAGCGCGCTACCTGACCTTCAATAACTCCACCCCTATCCTTTGATGATGCTAGGGTCATTTAAGTTTATTTTTAGACAAAATATTGTACTTTTTTGATGCCCTATATTCCAAATTCTGTTGAAAAACACCACTTCTATAAGTACCATTTTATATGATTGCCGGTCGGTTACAAATTATGGGTAGGCGGAGAACTGTAGGAATATAACGGTTATAAATAAGACAATGGGTAATGAAATAAAATTAGTTGTAAGTCGACATAGTGTACGTGAAAGTAGAAAGCTGATGAAAAATAGACAAGAAAGAATTCAAATTAACTGGATGTTGATGGTAGTTTATGCTATCCTAAGAGGGTTGATGAGCTACTGTAATTTTCTTATGCCCTGTTGATTATCACGTGACTAAATCGTCAATAGAACACCGACCTCTTTGAACTTAGTACTGTTCCAAGCCAATGAAGTGCCAACCAGTACAAGCAACATAGATTTTCTAAAAGCGTGCTCTATAAGCCCACAGCCCTAATTTTCTCCTCATCTAGCAGCTAGTCTTTTCTCTGCCAGAGTAAGTTGTCACTGATGGTCTCTAGACAGTGAATCTAGAGTATCGTGCCTTGGTACTCGTTTATAAATAACTATAAGTTTTTACTGAGTGTTGTGATAGTTATATGCCCGCCACTCAGAGATGCTGGAGATTGTCTTTTACTTTTATTAGTCCAGTGAACTTGTGGAGTGACATCAACTTGTGATAGGATATTTAGCATATCTGATTTTTTTCATGTTTCAACTGCCTATGTTTAAAGATTTGCAATTACAATCCTCATAATTTGTCATACACAAAGTTTTCAAATTATCCAGATAATTATGTTGTTAAATAAAAAGCAATGGTGGCTGAAAGACTACGTATTATGCACTTTTTCACATCCGTGGTACTCGATACGTAATGAATACTCTATGGTATACTGTCGTACAAAGATGATAGACTGTGGTGTTTGAATAAACTAATGACTCCTTGGTACTTGTTGAATGTTTGATTTCGAATTCTAAATACAGTACATTCGTTAGTGCTTGTGTAGTACTTCTTGATTCAATTACGTTATCCCTGGGATTATTAGTTCATACTATAATTCAAATACTTCTAATTATCATATTGGCGTCGCGACGGGGCCTGCGATGGAACAGTTAGATATTCATTCAACTTCTGAAGCTTTTGAGGACTATTTGGAAAGGTTTGAAATCTGGAGCATGACCAAGAAAGATGATGAGGATATTAATATCGTGGCACATTTTCTCACATTCATTGGAAAAGAAGCATATGGCTTATTAAAAGTTTTGGCTTCACCGGAAAAGCCCATTTCTCTCAAAGAACTACTTCTAGACTATGCAAAGTATACAAATTTCGAATGCGGTAAAGGGAGATTTCGTAAAATAATTCATGAGAATATAAAAAATTCCACTACATGACGTCACCCCATCCCAGTGCATACTCAAGGTTATGCAGTTCACGAAGATGGGCACAAGTTTAGTCAATGTTTTTCTTGTGGCAAGTTCCACCCTTTTAATTCATGTAAATTTCGTAATTGTAAGTGCTTTAAATGTGGTGATGTCGGACATATTCAGTCAGTTTGTAATACTACTGTTCATCTTGCTGCAACTAATATTCAGTCTTTCGATTCTGATTCTATTAATCTGAATATTTATAATGATCATTTATCTTTATCGACGATTTCAAAAGACAGTTTAGAGTCATGTAGCAGTTCAGAGTTGAATGAAACTCAGGATCCTTGCGAGAAAACAATTCCTAATCAATCAACTTATCAGATTTCTCATGTTATTGCACCAGATATGATTTTTCCTAATGATTCACATATTTCTGATGAAATTTCGGTGAAACTCTATTTTATGGACGACCTTTAACGTACGTTTAAGTGACCTTGAGAACATTAGCCAATCAGAAGAGAGCTGGTATAGAGTAAAAATATATTATGAAAAACTGATGAATTACAATGGATATTCTTCTTTCACATGATTTAGGAACTTGTTAAGGTTTGATAAAGGTTCAGAAGTTCTAAAATCATAATGCATGCGGTATAGGAACTCGTCCATATGGCTCCATATTAATCGTCCTCTGGAACCGTGGTAGGGTCTTAAAAATACTTCAGCCTAGACCACATGCCTTCAATATTGTTTGTATGAACCCCCGTCATTGGATCGACAAAATGACGTATATTCACTGAAGTGTTACTTACCCAATCTTCCTTTATAAAACGTCCTTTGTTGTATTTTCGCTTTCTAATTACTGTCTCATCTATTTCCACTATCTTTCCAACTCCCCCAAACGATTCATGTACTTGTGATCGCGCAAAGAAATTGCCAGTTCGAGCAGATTTTTTTCTCCAACATATAGTACAACGAAATACAATATCATCACGGTAGTCTGCACATCGTGCTGCAGTCATTTGATTGCCGCAGTTACAGACACAGGAACTTCTTAATAGTCCCATCTGTTATAGTCGCTCAACAATCACCTCTTCTCTGAAATCTGCTGTAAAACGGTCGAATGTGAGCATCTAGAATCGAACTTAGCGCCGTGACCCTGAACTTCCTCAAACGCCTCTGATTGGCTCGTCCATAAATTAGAGTCCTACCGAAATTTCTTACAAATCTGATGAGAATATTTCGGATGAACCTAATGATGATCAAAAAGCTGATTTAGTTTTGATAGATGCTGATTTTTCTAATGATTCTTTGCTCTGCAATGACATTCTTAATAAATGTGAGGAAAATACTTCAGAAGAATTCAATCCTGATGACGTCGTATCAAATGTTATTTGTCCTCACAATGTATTTGTTTCTTATGGGAAACCTGTTCAATGCGAAACACAAGTACTAAATGAGTTCGATTTTGAATACGATTCATATGATTTCACATCAACTGTTGTTTATCCTTATCATAAATTCACTTCCAATGTATACTCTAGTCAATGTGAGAAAGATGTTTTAAATAAAACCACATTATTCATAACTTGGGGATATGAAGATCCGACATTATTTCGTGGGGGAGGATAGTCTGAATGTCTATGGTTGAAATTCTAGGTAGCAGTACTTTCAGTACTCAACCGACATGATGATTGTACACAATCCCAGAAATCAAGTGAGTCTGTTCCGATTTCAGTTGTTTATTCTAATAATAATGAGTGCATTCTAGATAATACAGAGTCTTTATCCAATACATTGTCGGACAGACACAGCATGAACTTGAGGACAAGACGTACAATTGATTACAGACACTTAGACTCTAATTTAAGCTGTGGCGGATGTGGTGTTTGAATAAACTAATGACTCCTTGGTACTTGTTGAATGTTTGATTTCGAATTCTAAATACAGTACATTCGTTAGTGCTTGTGTAGTACTTCTTGATTCAATTACGTTATCCCTGGGATTATTAGTTCATACTATAATTCAAATACTTCTAATTATCATATAGACAACGGAAAACTAACACGTATCAACACAAAAATGAGTTTAATAAGGAGTGTCCATGTTGATGTTGATAGTATCGTTCCACTCTTTTTCACATGATATTATCAACCAAGAATAGTGGAGTTACTGCTTCTTAACGTACGGAAACAGGCCAGATCAACTGCAAGAGATCGATAATAGTAATAACATTATTGTATTGGCATTTAATGGTGACTGTTTTCTCAAGTAAAAGTTTGTTTATAACCTGAGCAACTCAATTGAAGATAAGGTAAAATCTATACGTATGGGATACATATTACTCAGGTAGGATCTTTGTGAGATTTAACTCTACTGGACCAGACTATGAATGGATTTATTGGCCATCGCTCTACTTGATAACTCAAGTGTCCGCGAACTA